TATTTTTTTTTATGTATTTAATTTTAAGTTAAATTCTTTTAAATTTCCTAGCATGTTTTTTTTACCAATCTTATTTTTTATTCTTAATTGCTATTTTATTAGCTTATGCTCTTGTATACTGTTAATATTTTAGTAGTTTAGTGTATTTTCTTAACTAATTTTATTTTTATACTCTGTAAAAAGTACAGGTATAAGAAAGGCAGTTGTGGTTTTTTGGAGGGTTTTGGTTTTGATTTTTGAGACAAGTTCTCACTTTGTCACCCAGGCTGGAGTGCAGCGGCAAGATCTCTGCTCACTGCAGTCTTCACTTCGAAGCTCAAGCAGTCCTCCCACTTCAGTCTCCTGAGTAGCTGGGACTGCAGGCATGTGCTACCACACTGGGCTGATTTTTGTATTTTTTGTAGAGACAGGGTTTTCTCCATGTTGCCCAGGCCAGTCTCAAACTCCTAAGCTCAAGCCATCTGACTGCCTCAGCCTCCCAAAGTGCTGAGATTACAGTCAGGAGCCACTGTGCCTGGCCTACAAAGGCAGTTGAAAGGGTAGATTATATTCTTTTTTTTTTGAGACGGAGTTTCGCTCTTGTTACCCAGGCTGGAGTGCAATGGCGCGATCTCAGCTCACCACAACCTCTGCCTCCTGAGTTCAAGCAATTTTCCTGCCTCAGTCTCCCGAGTAGCTGGGACTACAGGCGCGCGCCACCGTGCCCAGCTAGTTTTTTGTATTTTTTAGTAGAAACGGGGTTTCACCATGTTGACCAGGATGGTATTGATCTCTTGACCTTGTGATCCACCCGCCTCGGTCTCCCAAAGTGCTGGGATTATAGGCGTGAGCCACCACGATTCTTTCCTTTGCAGTTGGTCTTAAAAGTTTCCTAAAAAAGTTCTTTTAGTAGCCTTCTCTCAGTCCCAATCCATGAATTGCCTTCTTCCTAAAGAACTGTCTTCTTTAATGTCTTTGCTTTTCATGCAGATGATAATTAGCCTTACCTACTGTCCGTATAACTAAATTTTATCTTGCCTTTTTATGTTGTGAGCCGTCTATCTTTTTATCAGACATAATCTAAAATATGGTAATGAGACTAGGTTGAAATAATCTGGGTCAGGGGATTAAAACCTTATTTAAAATTGGTTTAAAAACCTGAATTTTTAATGCAGATTACACTTAAAAATTGATAAGATTGAAAAAGGATGTACCAGGAGTGAGCTCTTCTACGTATTGAGAAATTGTATAGAAAATATTGCTTTTGGTTTTTTCCCCCACTAGTTTCTTAGATTAAATCAGTATATGTAAATAAGGTTTTTGAGCAAGTCTTTTTAGCATGTACACATATTTAAATTTAAAACTACTTGTCTTTGAAAAGGGATTATAAACTGCAAACAAGTTTGTGGTTCCATATATTATTCAAAAATATACTCCAGGTGGGGCACAGTGGCTCATGCCTGTAATCCCAGCACTTTGGGAGGCCGAGGCGGGTGGATCACCTGAGGTCAGGAGTTTGAGACCAGCCTGGCCAACACAGGGAAACCCTCTCTCTATTAAAAATACCAAAAATTAGCTAGGGGTGGGTGTGGGCCCCTGTAATCCCAGCTGCTCAGGAAGCTGAGACAGGAGAATCACTTAAACCCCAAAGATGAAAGTTGCAGTAAGCTGAGATTGCACCATCACACTCCAGCTTAGGTAACAAGAGCAAAACTCCATCCTTATATATATATATTACACACACAGACACACACACACACACACACACGCACACACACACACACTGTCCATTTAAACCCTCAAATTTCATAGCCAGAAAACAGCTCAGAGCACACTAGTCAGTCATGAGATAGAATTGCCCTATATGACTGTCTTAGTCCATTCAGGCTGCTGTAACAAAATACTGTATCGACTGGGGGATGATAGCTTACATACAACAGAAATTTATTTCTCACTATCCTTGAGGCTGGAAAGTTAAAGATCAAGGCACCAGCAGCAGATTTGGTGTCTGAAAAAGGACCTCTTTCTGATTGATAGAGGTACCTTCTAACTGTAACTTCACAGGGTAGAAGGGGTGAATGAGCTCCCTCAGGCTTCTTTTATACCAATCCCATTCATGAGAGTTCTCATGACCTGATCACTTCCCAAAGGCCCCACTTAATAATATCACCTTAGGAGTTAGGATTTCAACATAAGAATTTTGAGGAGATGCAAACATTCAGACAATCTCAGACTCTTAAAAACCAGCTTGTCTAATTTAAAGATCACATTTTGAGTATTTAGTTTGGATTGTTAAATGACTATCAGTTAAAGCTGTGCAGAAATCCAAAGGAAGTGTAAGACATTGTCTTAGGAAACAGATCCAGACTTTCCATTTCTAGGTATCGGAGGCTTAACTTGAATTAACAAAAGCTGAGAGGCCAGTGCCTGTGGTCCTCGCTACCAGGGAGGCTGAGGCTGCAATGAACTGTGATAATATCACTGATCACTCCATAGCTTGGGTGACAGAGTGAAACCCTGTCTTTAAAAAAAAAAAATGAAAAAATGTGAAGCCATTGACCACCAGACAAAGCAGAGGCAACTCTAGCCTCAGGGTACCTGGATCCTTGCAGATGTGTCTGCCTCTGTCTGTCTCTGGTCTTTTGGCACCTTATGGCTTGCTTATTTTCCTTGCTTGCTTTCTTTGTGACACTTTTTGTCAAAAGCACTCTTTCTCTGTCCTGCATGCTCTGTTTCTGTTGTTCTGTTGCTCTGAGTCTTTGTTTGCCTCTCTTGTACAGTGTCCTCCTCCCCGTTCCCCTCCCATTCCCTGCCTATTGGTTTCATTTTCTCCTTTCATAGAAAGGCATTTCCATGTGGCTATAGGCTGTCTACTTTCAGATTCTTCCAATTTAGCAACTGCAAACAAGTTTGTGGTTCCATATATTATTCAAAAATATACTTCAGGCCAGGCAGAAAGGATGCTCTGCTTCCAGATCTAATAGTGTAAAGAAGTCTAGAGAAAAGCTCTTTCTACCTTAGTTTAGGTAGCTAGGGAGCAGGGCACTGTTTCCCACTGAAATCTCTGGGTTTAAGATGGAGAGGAATAGTAGTCCTCAAAAGAAGGAAGATCAACTGGCTCACCCTGTAATCCCAGCAGTTTGGGAGGCCAAGGTGGGTGGATCACATGAGTCCAGGAGTTCGAGACCAGTCTGGGCAACATAAGGGGACCTCCTTCTTTCAGTCTCTACAAAATTTAAAAAATTAGCTGGGTATGGTGACACATACCTGTGGTTCCAGCTACTCTGAGTGCTCAGGAGAGAGGATTGCTTGAGTCCAGGAGGACAAGGCTACAGTGAGCCGAGATCTACAGTGCACGCCACTACATTCCAGTCTGGGTGACAGTGCAAGAACCTGTCACACACACAAAAAAAGACGATCATCTTGGCAGAGAAAACAGTAAATGTTCAAAACAGGAGATACTTAATGAAGTAGTCTTCACTAATACTCATATTTAAGTGCTTTTTATTTATGGAATTCTTGTATGTCCAGTCATTTTTTCTGTAATGCCTTAATGTTCATGCTTTTTCATTAACAATATGAATCAAGTATAATATTTAGAAATACGTATATATGTGTGTGCATATATATGTATTTTTGAGACAGAGTCTCTGTCGCCTAGGCTGGAGTGCAGTGGCACAATCTTGGGTCACTGCAACCTCCGCCTCCCAGGTTCAAGTAATTCACTACCTCAGCCTCCCCAGTAGCTGGGATTACAGGTTCCTGCCATCACTGCGGGCTAATTTTTGTGTTTTTAGTAGAGACAGGGTATCAGCTATCTTGGCCAGGCTGGTCTTGAACTCCTGACCTCATGATCTACTTGCCTCAGCCTCCCAAAGTGCAAGGATTACAGGCATGAGCCACTGCACCCAGCCAGAAATATTTTTTAAGAATCTACTTAGGGGCCGGGCGCGGTGGCTCAAGCCTGTAATCCCAGCACTTTGGGAGGCCGAGGCGGGTGGATCACGAGGTCAAGAGATCGAGACCATCCTGGTCAATGAGGTGAAACCCCATCTCTACTAAAAATACAAATTAGCTGGGCATGGTGGCGCGTGCCTGTAATCCCAGCTACTCGGGAGGCTGAGGCAGGAGAATTGCCTGAACCCAGGAGGCGGAGGTTGCGGTGAGTCGAGATCGCACCATTGCACTCCAGCCTGGGTAACATGAGTGAAACTCCGCCTCAAAAAAAAAAAAAACAAGAATCTACTTAGGACAATTTTATCTTCTAAAAAACATTGTCATTATTTTCTATGAATTACTTTTTAATTTATGGTTTTTAAAATTTTTATAATTTCTTTATAAATATGTGACACTAACACATTTCCAAATAATAGATTGTAAGTATAAGGTCATTTTATAGATTGATTCAGAAATCACAGCTCTTTGTACACTTTTAGATCCAACAGTAAGATACTGGGAAATGAGGAGTATTTGTTCAGTCCTTTACAGTGGGTCTATTTTAGAGTATTTTAGTACTATTCTTTACCTTACTTTAAACTTCTGTTCTTAATTTATATGATTACATACTCTACTACCCCTAAGCCTCTGTGATGAAAGAACAGTATCTTCTGCACAGTACCCAGCACAGACTAATAGGTACTCATAAGGTGATTGTTGGTAAACTTTTTCTTTCTGGTACTTCATGTTTTAGGATACTCTGTAGTAAACTTTTATGAAATACAAGTCTTTGGTGGAAAACAGATATTAATACATTTAGTGATGTTTGAGTCTTCTGACCATTTTATATTTGCTGACTCTGAGTTATCACCTAGTTGTCACACTGTGGAAAGACGAGCCTGTAAATTTTGGGCAGAAAGAAACCTTTTATAAATAGGTATAATTTTGTTGTGTTCTTGATGCAGCATATAGCGTTGCCTAAGTCTTTTTAATATTTTGTAAGGGGGGTAGTTTTGATTAATTCAGACTGTGACTTACAATATTTTTAACATGTAACGATAAGTGATCAAGATTTCTTTTCATAGGCTACAGAGAGTGAGGTGGGAGATGTAGATTTGACACGTCTTCCAGAAGGACCTGTTGATTCTGAGGATGACGAAGAGGAAGATGAAGAGATTGACAGAACAGATCCATTGCAGGGACGAGATCTTGTTCGAGAATGTCTTGAAAAAGAGCCTGCAGACAAAACTGATGATGACATTGGTAAGAAATACATGTGTTCACCATAAGAATTTGTAATTTAATTTATATGGTTACCTATTGCTGCATAACAAATTATTCTAAAACCTAATAAATGTATGTTGTTTTAAACCATTATCTTAATAGTTTTTGTGAGCCAGAAATTTAGGAGTACCTTAGCTGGGTGGTTCTGGCTTGTAATCAGAATTGACAGAGGGCTGCAGCCATTCAGGTCTTCCCTGAGCTGAGCTGTAGAATCTGTGTCCAAGATGGCTATTTACATGGCCTTTGGTGCATGATGACCTTCAGTTCCTCTTCATGTGGGCCTCTCATTGACCACTTAATTGTCCTTACAACATGGCAGTTGGCTTCGCCCTAAGTAAGTTATCCAAGGGAGAATAAGACGAATGCCACAGTGTTTTTTATGATCTGTATTCAACAGTAATGCATCATTACTTCTGCTAAATTCTGTTAGACCAAGTAACTCTAATACAATGTGGAATGGGACTGCACAAGGACAATGACTATCAGGAGGCAGGGATCACTGGGAGCCATCTTTGAAGTTGGCTGCCACAATATATATAACAAAAGCTTTGATTGCATTAAACTGATTTTTTCCCCTCACAGTACAGTGTTCAGTATCTGTGAATTTGCTTTTGGAAAAACTTGCAAATTTTTGTAAATTTATATTTTTATTTTCCTAGCTTAAATATATGTATGTGTTGTGTGTATGCTTAAAACATAAATTTTTCTTTATGTAATTTTTTACAAAATTAGTTACTATAGTTGGGAAGTTGAATGATACTAAAGATGTTAATGTTATCTTTAAGAAGCAAAGATCACTTGTCATGATTTAATTAACGATTTTTATCTTAGATTGTATTTTTATGATAGCTATCATTCCAATTAAAAGAGGCTGCTACTAATAAAAATTGTTTATGTGAGTAAAGATCAATGTATTTGAACATTCCTTGCCATTCTAAAGATATCATATAGTTAAATAACTTGCATTGTAGATTCATGCTGTGAACATTACCTGGACAGAAATTGAAAGTGTATTTTTACTGATACAGAATTGTATACTATACTATTTTCATAAAACTAAAAAAATGAAGATATAGTTAATTCCTATTTTCTGTGGATATATAGCACCTTGTAGTTATTCTTAATGTCTTTGCTGGCTGCTTATATGTGTTTCTTCCTTATATTTATTTATTTCTTACACACATATCCATAACAGGGAATGGTCTAAGGCACTCATAAACATTTGTTGGTTAAAGAGAGTTACCTAGTTAGACAAATTTTGAATTCACATTTATTATCCCTGTTTTAATTACTTTTTGACATTTGTTAATGGCATTTTAAAATACTTTTGCTTAATAAGAACTAGACAAAAGACTTTTCACCAAATCTATTAGATCAAAGGCCATCACTAAACCCATGGAGTGGCTAGGAATATTAGATATATTCTCTGCTTTCATCTGAACCTGCATAGTTTCCTGGTTCTCTCTGGAGATTGTGAATTCTGGTATCTTCCAGTAAGTCCATATTTATATGAGTCTGAATATATGTATAAATCAAAAAATTGATTTTAAAAATCAGTAGTCAAATTGTACCTTAGTTTCTCTACTTTAGCAATATAAATTTATAAGTTAATTGGGAAATTGGTTATTGAATTCTAGATTTCATTGTATTTTTTAAGTATAGTCCTCAATGGTCTTTATACCAGAATTTCCATTTTCTTGCAGAACAATTACTGGAGTTTATGCACCAGCTCCCTGCTTTTGCAAACATGACCATGTCTGTAAGGAGAGAACTCTGCTCGGTGATGATTTTTGAAGTGGTAGAGCAGGCTGGAGCTGTTATTCTTGAAGATGGGCAAGAGGTAGGTCAGCAAATAAATCATATACATTTCTTATGGATACTAACTTATAAAATAATTTAATTTCTGTAAACTTGTCCTGATTTTTGAGTCCTGATTTTTTAAATTTAATTTACTCACAGTAGATTTTGCACAGAGTTGATGCTCCATAGCTAATATTCAGTGAACCAAATGTTTTTACTTCTCAAATTAGGTTGTAATTTAAATAGATTAAATAGATTTAAAGGATTCTTAAACATTTTTCTATTTATATAATTAAATCATTATTGTTTAAAATGTTTATCAAGAATTCTTCTCATTCCTTGTCTCTATTATACACTTAAAAGGAAAAGAATGGGCCAGGCGCAGTGGCTCAAGCCTGTAATCCCAGCACTTTGGGAGGCTGAGGCGGGTGGATCACGAGGTCAAGAGATCGATATCATCCTGGTCAACATGGTGAAACCCCGTCTCTACTAAAAATACAAAAAAATTAGCTGGGCATGGTGGCGCGCGCCTGTAATCCCAGCTACTCGGGAGGCTGAGGCAGGAGAATTGCCTGAACCCAGGAGATGGAGGTTGCGGTGAGCCGAGATCGCGCCATTGCACTCCAGCCTGGGTAACAAGAGCTAAACTGTGTCTCAAAAAAAAAAAAAGGAAAAGAATGAGGAAAGTGTATTGGTACCAGTGCATCCTAGGGAACTGCTGACATTGAAGCATATAGGTGAAAATTCTATATTAAAAAATGCTCCGATGACAGCTTGTGGATGGGTGGAAGAAGGATGCAAAGGGATTGAAAGGTATTATTGCCATCAGGAAGTGCTTTATTATTTTTCTTATCAAATGGGTAAAAATGCTGAGATTTTGGTAAGTGAACATTGTCTTTTAGTGGGAAGGTAAATTGGTATAGTATTTTCAGAAAATTATTTAAAAATTTTTAACATAACCTGTTATTCCACTTCTGAGTGTCTAAGCTGGGGATGTATGTAAAACTCAAAAGAGTGATTTCAAAAGATGTTCATTGCAGCACATTTATAATATAAATTACATATTTGTTGCTTATATAATCTGTTATATGTAATTACATAATTTTATACTATAACATATAAGTAAAAATTGCACATAACCAAAACATCCAGTGATAAGCAATAGTTAAGTAAATTATTATATAGCTATTGAATGTAATATAAAGGTATTCAAATTATTTTTTAAATTATTTGATACAATTTCCTTGAGGATAGGATCCCTGTCTCTAGACTCTGTTTTCATGTTTTCTCCCTATATCCTAGAAGACATCTGTCATATAGGATGGGCTCCCCCCAAAAGTTTGATGAACAAATGAATGTAGTATTAGTTTTTTTAAGCAGGATATTCTAAATATTTCAATAATATAAAATCTATACAGAAGAGAGAAATAAGCTTTAAACAACTGTATACAGTAGAATTTTAAGTAACTTCTATTTTCTAGAAGTTTTTGCATTCTCTTAATTTTCCACAGTTGTATCAGCAAAATTGTTGTATGCCTACTTTGTGCCAGGTACTATTCTCGATATGGGGTTATAGGGGTGAAAAAAGCAGATACACTCCCTGTCCTCCAGTAGCTTATATAATCTACAAGTTGTGTAGTGAGTGTATTTTAAAATAATAAAGGTATACTTTTGAAAAAGAAAAAAAAACCTTATTACCATTGATTACCCTTCAGAACCAACTGTCTTGATTTCCCTTAAATCACATTAAAACTGATGAAGGTTCAGGCTTATAAGAGGGGTTGATATTAAAGGAGAATAAGTGGTCTTTCATTGATAGATAGTATGCCTTTATAATACATCTTCTTTGGGCTGGGTGCAGTGGCTCATGCCCATAATCCCAATATTTCTAGAATCCTAGGTGGAAGGGTCACCAGGAATTCAAGACCACCATAGGGAACATAGCAAGACCCTGTCTCTATCAGAAAATACATTGGCCAAGCATGGTGGCACACACCTGTAGTCCCAGCTACTTGGAAGGCTGAGGCAGGAGGACCACTTGAGTCCAAGAGTTTGAAGCTACAGTAAGCTATGATCGTACCACTGCACTCCAGCCTGAACAACAGAGCAAGACTCCATCTCTAAAATAAATAAATAAATTCTTAAAGCATTAAATATTTCTGCATAGGCCGGGCGCGGTGGCTCAAGCCTGTAATCCCAGCACTTTGGGAGGCCGAGGCGGGTGGATCACGAGATAAGAGATCGAGACCATCCTGGTCAACATGGTGAAACCCCGTCTCTACTAAAAATACAAAAACTTAGCTGGGCATGGTGGCGCCTGCCTGTAATCCCAGCTACTCAGGAGGCTGAGGCAGGAGAATTGCCTGAACCCAGGAGGCGGGGGTTGCGGTGAGCCGAGATTGCGCCATTGCACTCCAGCCTGGGTAACAAGAGTGAAACTCCGTCTCAAAAAAAAAAAAAAAAATTTCTGCATAAATAAAGGCTTTATTTTCTTAACATTTTGAATCTTTTGTCAGATATGCCTTAAAATTTAGGCTTTTACTAGTCTTTCTGAAATAATCATTAGCTATCTATTTTTTTTTCTTAAAGGTTTGTTTTTTTAGTCAGGCACTATTGTGAGCGCAGTGTATATATTAACTCATTTAATTAACATAATAATTCTATGGTAGATACTTTACTTATTACCATTGGAGCAGTAGAGAAACCAAGGCCCAGAGAGGTTAAATAATTTACCCAAAGTCATTTAGCTAGTTAGTGGCATTGTATGGATTAACATTCCGAGAGTTTGTGCTCTTGGACATTATACTATGTTGTCTCAGAGAATCTGGTCAATTATAACAGTTATTGTTTGGTGACTAAAAGAAGAAATAGCAAAAGAAAGAGCAAAATAGCTTTCATAGGCTCAAAGCATAGGGTGTTACAGAGTATTTAGTAATACAAACAGATTCTCCTTCTTCCTTTTTAAATTATACAAGTTATATATATTGATAGATTCTTTTTCAAAGTTAACATATAACTACCTTTTTTAAAAGATTCATAAAACCTTTGTTTTTCTCTATAGCTTGACTCATGGTATGTTATTTTAAACGGCACTGTAGAAATCAGTCATCCAGATGGAAAAGTTGAAAATTTGTTTATGGGAAATAGTTTTGGAATTACCCCCACTCTGGATAAGCAGTACATGCATGGAATTGTCAGGACTAAAGTAGATGATTGTCAGGTAAGACTATCGCTTTGGTCAAGTCCTCTTGCTTGCCTGTTGATTTAAAGTAGCTGAGCCTGTTTTGTCCTCCTTAAAATAAAATACCTTTATTTAAGAATTAAGAGTTTCAATAGCTCACAGTTGATAAAGGAAACTAGATTTTGTATCTGCCTCAAATATTTGTGGGCTGTTTATAAAGTTAGAAATTTTCAAAAAAGCATTTATACCAAATAAATACTGGTGTGTTATATTTCTATTTGATATTAGCCAGCTCAGAGTCCTTTAAAAAAAAAAAAAATAAAGGAAAGAAATAGGAACTTCTGAGTTTGTTTCTGACTTAACTCCTGCTTCATGTTTTCTTTACATAGTGTCAGTTTTGAGAGAAGTAGAAGTTCACTTCTCCTTTTAAGGAGCAAAATTCAAACAGATTAGACCTCTTTAGTCTCTTCGTATATGAATTGTTTCACCTTCGTTTTTGTTAAAGATTAAAGGAATTAAGTGAAAAGAAACTAATGCCACTAGATTTCTTACCTTTGTGCTCTGCCTTGGTACATCGTGATATATTTATGTACTATAGGTTCATTAATTGTCCCCATGTTGTTCTTGGACAGTTTGTCTGCATAGCCCAGCAAGATTATTGGAGAATTTTAAATCATGTGGAAAAAAATACCCATAAAGTTGAGGAAGAGGGAGAAATTGTTATGGTACATGAGCATCGTGAACTAGACCGGAGTGGAACCCGGAAAGGACACATTGTAATCAAGGTGGGTGTTTTTACTTATTATTCTAGTCACTGATACAGTAGAGCTTTCATCTTGTTTTAAACCACTTTTTAAGTAGTGCCAGATAATTCATTAACACTTTGGAATCTAACTTAAATAAATGTTGGCTCTTTTGTCTTTTTCTAAGAGAGTTTTTACATATTTTAATGGTGAAGGATAATTTATTGCCATTTAATATCAGTGTAGGTAGGGTATTATTTTAGAATATAATGGTCAGAGTTTTCCTTTTCAAACTTATATTGTAAGCCACTGAGTGTGGGAGTCAGTTTCATCAAAGACAGTAGTATTTACAAACAAAACAAAATTTAAGGACCAGCCATAAAGGTATAAGTAATCCTAGGTTAAGATGCAGAGTGCTTCTGGATCTCTGTGGCACTGAAATATGCATTTAACTTCTCTGAACCTCACTTTTCTTATCTGAATATGGAGCTAATTCAAGGATTTATTAGGGCTAAATGAGGTAAATCAAAAGCCTTAGCACAAATGTAGAGTCTGAGTATTAATCCTCATACTGTTTTCCTGTTTATAAGTTCTACCCTCTTCTATTTGCCTTCTCCCCTCCTGTCTTTTTAAAGATTTGGATATAAACTGAACAATTATAGTTGAAAGGAGGGAAATAAACACATAACTGTTTCTCTTTTCAAGCTAGTCTTGGTAAAATTAGCATCACTGTTAATTGCAGATGAAGCAGGTTACTTAATAATATGAAGGAGTTAAGTCAGAGAGATAATTTGAAGTCTGATGTCACACTTGTTCTTCCCTTAGAGTCAGGCTGTTCCTCAGAGAGCTTTCTTTTTCCTAAACAGATGACTGTAAGCTTTGTATGTAGAAATGATGAACATATTGGTGGACTACCATAGGCTTATACATAGACTTTTTTATTTTAATTCATTTTTATCTTTTTGTGAAGACTCATGTGTTTTAGCAATTTATTTCTAAATAATTTCAAACTAGAAAAGTTGCTAAAACAGTAGCGAGATCTGTGACTCAGATTCCTCAACTGTTAATATTTTCACTGCATTTGCTCCATTATCACCAGTCTTTTTCTGAACATTTGAGAGCAGTCTGCAAATGTGATGCCTCATCATTCCTAAATATTCTATTGTGTATTTACTAAAAACAAGGACACTCTCTGACATAAGCACCATAGAATCCTTCAAGTTAGGAAGTAAACATTGCTAAAATAAAACCATTCAGGGCTAGGCACAGAGGCACAGTGGTTTATGCCTGTAATTCTAGCACTTTGGGAGGCAGAGAAGGATGGATCACTTGAGGTCAGAAGTTTGAGACCAGCCTGGCCAACATGGTGAAACCCCATTTCTACTAAAAATACAAAAATTAGCTGGGCATAGTGGTGGGTGCCTGTAGTCCCAGCTACTTGGGAGGCTGAAGCATGAGAATCACTTGGACCTAGGAGACGCAGGTTGCAGTGAGCCAAGATCACGCCACTGCACTCCAGCCCGGGCAGCAGAGTGATTCTTCATCTCAAACAAGCAAACAAAAAATCACACATTCAGTCCAGAGACCCTATTTAAATTTTCACTAATTATCACAACAATAACTGTTATTTCTGGTCTAGAATGTTATGCTTGAACACAGTTGCATTTAGTTGTCATTTGTCATGTCACTTCAGCCTATACCAGTTCCTCAGTCCTTCCCCGTTGTTAAATATTCTTAGCAGTTTTAAAGAATACAGCTCTTATATCTTGTACTATTACCCTCCACCTGGATTTTTCTAGATCTTTCTTCATGACCCAGATAAATTCAAGTCAGGCTTTCCTGGCAGGAGTTCCATAGAACTTGGAGGGCACACAATGTCAACCTGTTGTCCTGTCAGTGGTGAAGTTGGCCATGATTACTTGTGTCTGTCTGCTCAGTGTCTTCAGTGTAAATTCATCATTTTACCCTTTGTAACTGATAAATATTTGGTGGAGAGATGTTCTGACAGTATCAAAATACTATCCTTAAACTTTATGTTTAATATGTACTGAGTACAAACTAATATTCACCACTTTTTACTTCCATTACTATTCTTGTCTGAGATGGTGATTTTTAAAATAATTTATTCTGCATTTATTAACTCATTTTATTGAAGGAATGAACTGTCCCTTCTTTTCCAATAATTTATTTGTATTGGTATAAACTTAGGTTACCATCATTATTATTCTGATGCTCAAATTGTCCCAGATTTAGCCAGTGGGACTCTTGGGTTTTTTGACACATCCCTATTATTTGAGCACCTCCGTATAATCTGGCAAATAATAAGGTTCATCATTGAATTTAACTGTACCAGCTCTAGAATTGGCCATTTCTCGAGAAGACCCTGGATCTTTCTAGTCGAATGTAGTATTTATAAACCAAGATCTGGGCACCCACTATATTCACTACTACTGAGGTGTCATTACCTTTGTCTTTCATCAGAACTAGGAAATATATGTATGTATTCATTATGCACACATACACATCTATAACTTTATTAAACAACCATGAGTTTCAATTCCAGTGCTACCTATACTTCCAGTTCCAGTACCAAAACCACAGTTTTTCCCAGGGTCTTTTCCCTTCTATGTCTGTAAATACTTTATTCAATAATGCCTCTTGTTATACTCTGTATATTCTTTGCTCATTATAAGCAATCTCTACCATGCCAGTATAACACCACCAGCCATCTCTTCTGCTTTCTACCTCTGTGCACCCTGTCTCCCAGCATCCCACCTTAATGTATTTTACAGTAGATTTTAAACACTATGGTGATACCTTTAATGAAAGTTCAGAACATCAAAAATACTTGAAAGAACATAAAATTGCCATCAGTTTATACACACCTTAAAACGTTTGCAGATTCTGATTGCATGATGATGGATTGCTTTTGTGACAGAAATACTGAAATGTATTACTTTTACTATAGTATAATCTTCACATTCAGATTTAATTGCAAATCTTAACCATCTTTTGCTCATAGAAGGCTTGTTCATTTGACTTTTTTTTTGAAACAGTCTCGCTCTAGCACCCAGGCTGGAGTGCAGTGGCATGATCTTGACTCACACAACTTCTGCCTCCAGAGTTCAAGCAACTCTCCTGCCTCAGCCTTCCAAGTATCTGTGACTATACAGTCACATGCCATCACATTCAGTGGGGTTTTGTTGTTGTTGTTGTTGTTTTGCTTGATTCTGTATTTTTAGTAGAGGTGAGGTTTTGCCATGTTGTCCTGGCTGGTATCTAACTCCTGACCTCAAGTGATCCTCTAGTCAAGGCCAGGCGTGGTGGCTCAGACCTGTAATCCCAGCAATTTAGGATGTTGAGGTGGGCTCCCAAACTCTTTCGTGGTACTTCGTGCTAGGCCCTCTGTGAGATCTGGGAGGTAATAATATATACTTAGATTCTGACATCAGTGAACTCACAGTCTTTTGAGAAAGACAAGGCGATAGTTTCGGCATGACTTGATAAATCTCAAGATGGAAGAGCAAGAGAGACATAAAAAGAGGGATCTAAATTAGGCTAGAAAAAATAGCGAGAAATAATTTTAGGGAGGAAGGGTGACCCAGACAAAGAAATATGCATGTGCTATATAAAATTGCATAATATGTTTTAAAAAGAGCAGGAAATTTGTGTTCCTGGGATCAAGGGCATTTTGGGGTAAGATAGATTTTAGTCTAATTAGGTAAGGGCTCATCTTTAAATAAAATTTTGAATATATGACCTAGTCTCTATAGGGACCCTGCTTCTGTGATTTTGCCAGTCAAAATAATGGCCTCTCTTTAACAGGTTGATCAGTTTCCATCCCTGACTTAGCTATTCTAGGAAATGGAATTAAGTGATCCTAAACCAGGATTGGCCTGAATAATAAAACCAGTTTGGTACTCTTAGGGTTAGAATGTTTTGCAGGGGTAGGAGAATAGGAGAATACGAATGACCTATGATTTTCTTATCTCTTAAGTAGGTTGCTTTTGACTTCCTTTGAGAGAAACAATTTTTGTACCTTGTTTATTTTTAATAAATAAAATAAAGTACCTTTTAATAAAGTAGCTTATTTTTAATAAATTCTTAGATAAGAACATTATTAGTATTAATGTATGTTTACCATACAGTTATTCTAAACAATGAAATTGTTTGGATTAATATGACAAATGAAGGTTGGGGGTTATGAGTAACAGTTTTTATATTAGGCTTAACATCTGGTTTGTTTCTGTATTTGTTCTGTGTGCCCACCTTTGAAAAAGCTACAGAGTAATAATTAAACATTGGTTCAGAAGGTCAAAGAAGAACAGTATGGAAATGTATGTTATGTTCTTTTTTTCTTTTCTTTGAGACAGAGTATCACTCTTGTCATCCAAGCTGGAGTGCAATGGCATGATCTCAGCCCACTACAACCCCTGCCTCCTAGGTTCAAGCGATTCTCTTGCCTCAGCCCTCCGCCCCCCAGTAGCTGGGATTACAGGTGTCTGTTGCCACACCCAGCTAATTTTTGTATTTTTAGTAGAGACGAGATTTCACCATGTTGACCAGGCTGATCTCAAACTCTGGACCTCAGGTGATCCACCCATCTGGGTCTCCCAAAGTGTTGGGATTAGAGGTGTGAGCCACCGCACCTGGCCTGTTTATATCCTTTTCTTTCTTTCTTTTTTTTTTTTTGAGACGGAGTTTCGCTCTTGTTACCCAGGCTGGAGTGCAATGGCGCGATCTCGGCTCACCGCAACCCCCGCCTCCTGGGTTCAGGCAATTCTCCTGCCTCAGCCTCCTGAGTAGCTGGGATTACGGGCGTGCGCCACCATGCCCAGCTAATTTTTTGTATTTTTAGTAGAGACGGGGTTTCACCATGTTGACCAGGATGGTCTCGGTCTCTTGACCTCGTGATCCACCCGCCTCGGCCTCCCAAAGTGCTGGGATTACAGACGTGAGCCACTGCGCCCGGCCTTATATTCTTTTATAAATTTGGAGATAAGCGTTTAAAACTGAATTAATTTCAAAACTGCCTATACAACTTCTGGTTCCTCTCAATATGGTGACCTAGCATAGAGAGGAAACAGTATGAGAGGAACTATAGAAAAGGAAACATTTATTCTGGGAAGTAACAACAATAAAACAGGCTCTCTTGACCTGGTGTGTTCCTCCTATAGCCTGGACAGTAAAGATTTTTGAGGTGGATGAAATTTGGAGAAAAGCCTTCTTTTTTCTTTCTTTCTTCTCTTTCTTTCCTTTTTCTTTCTTTAGTTTAAGTTTCACCTCTTTTGTTGCCTTGAGACAATAAGTGTATGCGCTAGTTGTAGGAGAAGTGGCAGTAACACCCCATACCAGGGCTAAATCAGTGAATTTCAAAGGTCCTGCTATGATGAAATGCCAGTGAAAACAGCTTCAGCTGCATGAGTGCTGTTGGCTATTTATTCCTCTGTCTTTCCTGTCTCTCAGCCTCTGGGTGCTAATGGGTAACAATTAAGTTTAGAATTCAGTTCTTCCAGTGGTAAGGATTTAAAGGCAAAAGCCTACTTTGAGGACTTGTCTAATGGAGTAACTACAAAGGGGAATAATCAACAGTAATTCTTTGGTTCTTGGGTTATTTTCTCATCCTTCTTATCCTTGGATTTTTAGGCAACACCTGAGCGTCTCATAATGCATTTAATAGAAGAACATTCTATTGTGGATCCAACTTATATAGAAGATTTTCTATTAACTTATAGGACATTTCTTGAAAGTCCTTTGGATGTTGGAATCAAACTTTTGGAATGGTTTAAGATCGACAGCTTAAGAGATAAGGTTGGTTTTATAAAGGGCATGAAAGTGATTTTAACCTGAAGTTTTATTCATGAAACTTTTATAGTTGATAGAGTACATGTTTATTATGATAACAAGATTCAGTTCATCTAAAAAAATCAGTGAACTTGAACCACCAATATAGACATTCTGTGCTTACGTTTATTACAGAAGAGCATGTTAAAAGTGGATAAGAGCCTTAAAAGGCGAAAACTGAAATAAAGCTCTGGTAAAGCTATAAATTCAGGAAACATAAAAGTTACATGAGAGTATTTTAGAATTTTACCGAAATATCTTGTCATTTCTCGAGATCAATAAAGCATTTTAAAACTGAATATTTTAGAAAGACTATTGATCCAATACATTTTTTCAAGAGGGCCTAGATTGTTTTTAAGCTTCAAAATGGGAATGTCTTTATTTTCTTGAGTTACAGACTTTATAATCATTTGAAAACAATTTATTAAACCTTAATTTATCTCTCCTGTGACTTATTTAAATCTACCTTTTGAGTATTTTTTTGTATTAAATGTTGTTCACTATTTTAATTAAATTATCTTACCTCATTTCATGGGATATGTTTGTACATTTAATGGAAAGACTAGTTATACCTCCACAGATTGGTAAGAAATAAGTTGTTTTAATAAAATAAAAGTAGAATCATAATTGCTTGGTGTGTCTTTTTGAGTTAGATTTTAAAGGAAATAAATTGGATGCAGGTAGACTGTGGAATTCTTTTATTTAGGAGACTAACGTCTAAAACTACAGGTTCGCCCATCTTTTGCCATTTTTTGTTAAAATTAAATATATTTACTTTGGTTGCCAAGAAAATAAAGGCATTCTTAGGGAATGAACAAAAATATGATTTAGTAATAATTATCTCTATGCAAAAGAATGAAATTGGACTGCTACCTTATACCATGTACAGAAATGTATTCAAACTGTGTCAGAGACAGAAGAGCCAAAACTATAATACCTTAAAAGAAAAGATAGTGGTAGAATATCATGACCTTGGATTTGGTGATGGTTTCTCAAATAAGAAAATATGACACCCAAGCAAAAGTAACAAAAGAAAAAAATAGTTAAATTTTACTTCATCAAAATTAAAATTATTTTTGCATCAAAGGACACCATCAAGAAAGATAAGACAATGCACAGAATAAGAGAAAATTACGTATCTTTATTTTTTTTTTGAGATGGAGTTTCACTCTTGTTGCCCACACTGGGGTGCAGTGGCATGATCTTGGCTCACTGCAACCTCCACCTCCGGGTTTCAAGTGATTCTCTGGCCTCAGCCTCCCAACTTGCTGGGATTACAGGCATGTGCCACCATGCCTGGTTAATTTTGTACTTTTAGTAGAAATGGGGTTTCTCCATGTTGGTCAGGCTGGTCTTGCACTCTCGACCTCAGTGATCTGCTCGCCTCAGCCTCCCAAAGTGCTGGGATTACAGGTGTGAGCCACTGTGCCCAGCCAGAAAATTATATATCTGATAAAGGTTTAATATCCAAAATATATAAAGAACTTTTACCATTCAACAATGAAAAGACAGCACAGTTTAAACATGGACCAAGGACTTGCATAGACATTTCTCCAAAAAAGATATGTAAATGGCCAACAGGCACATGACAAAGATGTTCAACATCATTAATCATAGAGAAATGCAGTCGTAACCTCGATGAGATATCACTTTATACCCACTAGGATGGCTTTAAAAAAGGGGGAAAAAAGAAAAAGTAACAAACATTGCCAATGATATGAAGACATTAAACTGGTTTTCGCACCCCCACCCTACACACACTGATGATGGGAATGTAAAATGGTGTTGTCTCTGTGGAAGAAGTTGGAGCAGTTCCTCAAAAATTTAAGCATAGTGTTACCATATAGCCCAGCAATTTTAATTATAAACATATACCCAAAGAATTAAAAACAGAAGTGCAAACAAAAACCTGTGTGTAAATATTCATAGCAGCGCTATTGACAATAGCCCAAAGGTAGAAATGACCCAGATGTCCATCATGGATAAACAAAATGTGGTATAGCCATACAATAAAGTATTACTCAGCTTTAAAAAGAAAAGAAGTACTTACACATACCACACCATGATGAACCTCGAAAACATTATGCTAAGTAAAAGAAGAGAGTCAGAAAAGACTGTGTATTGTATGATTCTATTTATGTGAAGTATCCAGAACAGACAAATAGAAAAGCAGACTAGTGGCTGCCAGGGGCCAGAGAGCATAATGGGAAGTGAATGCTTAATGAGTTTGAGGTTTTCTTTTGGAGTTATGAAAATGTTCCAGAACTCCGAATTAGATGGTGGTGATGGTTACACAATACTGTTAAGGTACTAAATGCCACTGAATTATGAACTTAAAAATCATTAAAATGAATTTTATGTGGATTCTACCACAATTTAAAAAATGAGTCTTTCCTTACATTATTCAAATCAGCTTACATTTGTTAATGTTTAACTTTTCTGGAGCAAAGCAAGTGATTTAGCAGTTTGAAAATTTAGTGTTTATAATGAAGTTTCAGATTTGTAAGAGTTTTTGTTTTGCTTCTTAAGAGACAGGGTTTTGCTATGCCCAGGCTGGTCTCAAACTCCTGAACTCAAGGGATCCTCGTTGCTTCAGCCACCTGAGTTGCTGGGATTGCGGATATGAGCCACCGCGCCAGACTCAGATTTGTTTTTGTTACAATTTTGGTTAAACATGTTCTTGACCATGAAAACACTTTTGATAGGGATTTTTGATTGATAGGATTGCCTGCTTTATGACATGATGTTTGCATTGTAAGATGCTTTCTATAATATACTTTCTTTGTACTTCTTTCATCTTAACAAACAGGCTTGTGTCTTCTCACTGAGAGGACAGAGTCCTGGCTCTGTTATTTGTGTACACAGGGAAGCAAAAGCTCAAACTAAATCATGCCTTTCTATTACAATGAGCCTTTTTTATACGAGGGAGGGAACAAGAAGGTTGTCAGTTCCCCATCAGTTTTAGACATGCTTTTGGAATCTACTTTTGCAAAAGGAATGCCTCTTCTAACTATATGCTGCCTCTTTTATGTTTCCACAGGTGACGCGGATTGTATTATTATGGGTAAATAATCATTTTAATGATTTTGAAGGTGACCCTGCTATGACTCGATTTCTAGAAGAATTTGAAAAAAATCTGGAAGATACGGTAAGGCTCAAAATAATTTGTATTCTTCAGAGTGTAGTGGTACCGCTTCTCCAACACCAGCAAACTCAGAACAGTAGTAGCTTTCATCCTCTCCTGTGTCTTAAATGTCCATTCTTAGAACTTCCAGATCTATATTCTAGACTTTTGCTCATTTATTCTCTGCCACCCCAATTCAAACAACATTCACACTCCTTCCTCCTGGCTCTTCCATTTCTTCTTTTTGTTTTTTGGGGTTTTTTTTGAGACAGCGCTTTGCTCTGTTGCCCAGCCTAGAGTGCAGTGGCATGATTTCAGCTCAGTGCACCTTCTGGGTTCAAGTGATTCTCCTGCCTCAACCTCCCGAGTAGCTGGGACTAAAGGTGCATACCACCATGCCTGGCTAATTTTTGTATTTTAGGAGAGACGGAGTTTCACCATATTGGCCAGGCTGGTCTCAAACTGCTGACCTCATGATCCGTCTGCTTGGCCTCCCAAAGTGCTGGGATTACAGGTGTGAGATGCTGAGCCCAGCCTGACTCTTCCATTGCTGTATTAAGACTAATGACATTCTTATCTCTTAGTTACTCAGGCTTATAAACCTGGTGTTACATGTGTACCCTCACTCTCTTTTTCTTGAATTTCCTGGTCAGGATTTCCAGTCAGTTGCTAAAGTCACCTAGGTCACTAATTTAGGCATACAAATGTATGTTCACATATTTCCTTTTGATCTCTCTCAGCCATTTCTTTTTCACTCCCTAGTTTGACTTAAATATTTTATTATATCTGATCTGTTGTAATAGCCTGCTAACTAATCTTAGTTCTAGTTTCTCTTCTAATCCATTCCTTGTGGCCAAAAGATTGCTTTTTTTTTTTGAGACGGAGTTTCGTTCTTCTTACCCAGGCTGGAGTGCAATGGTGCGATCTTGGCTCACCGCAACCTCCATCTCCTGGGTTCAGGCAATTCTCCTGCCTCAGCCTCCCGAGTAGCTGGGATTACAGGCGTGCACCACCATGCCCAGCTAATTTTTTGTATTTTTAGTAGAGACGGGGTTTCACCATGTTGACCAGGATAGTCTTGATCTCTTGACCTCGTGATTCACCCGCCTCGGCCTCCCAAAGTGCTGGGATTACAGGCATGAGCCACTGTGCCCGGCCCAAGATTGCTTTTTAAACACACATGTGATGACTATTATTCTCTTTGACAGTAAACCATACTTCCTACCAAAGCAATTCCTCACCCATGTATTCAGGTCCCTTGCCTCCCTTTTTGGCCTTTTTCCCTTGTACTCTAGATTACAGGCAAATCAGACTATGTTATTTTACCTTCCAGTTCTGCATCTAGACCATGCTAGAATTCTCTTTTGTTAACCTATTTGAAACTCTGATTTGATTAACTATCAATGCATATATTAAATATCAAGTCTATATTAAGACTTTCTAGGTTTCCATTTTACATGGGATTCACCTGTTCTGAATGTACAGCACCTAAGATAATTCCCTCAAAGTCCACAGTAGCTATTCATGAATTCGTTTTATTGTCCCTGTCAGATATAAAACTGAGCTGTGACTTGATTGCCTACTCCAAGCAACTTAAAATTTTAGGAAATAGTAATGCAGCATAGTGATTTTAGGAATACAGCTCAAGAGTTAAATTGCCTGAATTAAGATCCAAGCTCCTCCACTTGCTTGATGTGTAAACTCGGACAGATTTTCTGATCTTATGCCTGAGTTGTGTTGTTGGTAAAGATAGTAGTTTCTAGTTTATTGAGATTGTTATAAGGATTATAATGAGCTGATAAGCATAACAGTCTTTATACAAAACCTGTCACATAGCAAATGCTCAAGAGCTATAGTTATTACTTATAGAGCATAAGCAGATAAGTTGAATGAAGTGGGAAAAATTGGCAAATTTGATCCCTTTTCTTACCCCTTGGTTCCTATAGAATTCTCAGCAGCATATGTGCACTATACAAAATGGGGAGAGTGAACAACACTGGGAACTTTATTAAAGGGTTATAGAGGCACTCCACTGTCATTTGACTCATCCAATGTTGGCTGTGTAGATAATTAAGGGACATCAGAATGTGGGGAAAAAAAGTCATGGGATTTTTTTTTTCCAGTAGTCAGTTAGGCATCAGGTATTTATTGCATTCTACTTTACAGCTGAAGGCATTAATGTAGCATCAGAACAAATATAAGACATGGTGTTGTTTTGAAAAAACCATTAGCTTTTTGTTATGGACATGAGATTTGCACATAATAATGCCATTTGAGATTAATTGAAACTGGAGTTAAAACTGGAAGTCAGACTATTACTGAGTTTAAGGAAGAACTAAAATAATACAAGAAGGAGGTCTTTTCTGGAAGAGGTGAAAACTTGAATGTTTCTTTGAACGTTGAACAGTATTTGAAAAGGTGGGTCAAATCATTCAAGGTTTTGAATAAAGGTTTTAAAAGATTCTGGTTTTATATAACAGCCAGGAGATAAGCAAGGTGGGAGTAGAGTGTATATTAGGAAAGTTTAAGAAATGATAAGTAATTTTGTGTCATCTCTTTGTAAATTAGACATCACTTAGAAGTCTTTTTTAACCTACAATAATCTAAAAGCCTTATAATCATATTAAGAAATCCTGTTATTGAGAGTGCTTTGGAGTGGGAGCACCCCCTTCTTCAGTTTTGTTTACCTCAGTTTATACATGTTCTGTAGTCCTTATATTTATAACTCCAATTCTAATAATTTTTGGTGACTTTTTAAAAACCTATAGCAATAGATACATTTATATACATATACCCTTTCCTGCTTTACAGAAGATGAATGGTCATCTCCGGTTATTGAATATTGCCTGTGCTGCAAAGGCTAAGTGGAGACAGGTTGTGCTGCAAAAGGCTTCCCGTGAGTCCCCTCTACAATTCAGCCTTAATGGAGGAAGTGAGAAGGGATTTGGTATTTTCATTGAAGGAGTAGAACCTGGGAGCAAAGCCGCTGATTCAGGACTGAAACGTGGTGATCAGGTAAGTAAATAACCAACCACTTAAATTCAAGCCTTCTTAAAAGTATTATACCTGCTGCTTTTGTTCTCATCTTCCAGAAAGCAAGATCAGTTTAAGGAAATATTTTTCTGAGTCTCTTTTTAGAGGTAGTATCTGCATATGGTTTATTTTTAAAATGTATTTGTCATGTATTTATTACTTTTAACGGAAAATTTGGTGTAGTGTGGCCAAAAATAACATGGTCTACTGAGCTCTGTCAGCAAGACCTCCTTTGAATGGGCCTGCCTATCTTTCATGGATAAGCTGGCAACTTGAGAATACTCCAGAAAGATCAATATATGAATTAACACCCTTGCAAGTTTTGAAGGAGATAGCACTTCTGCCTCATACACTCAAATGTAAGTGGCTGCAGATTGCTGAAGGTTATGTAATCATTAAATTATGTTTATATGGTAACATAACTATATCTGTAAGCAAAGTGAGCCAAATGAGGTACAAGGAAAAAAGATACTCCTGGGAATTTGATGATGATTTAGTTTTTTGGTGTAGGCATTAGGTAAGTATAGAGCAGCCTATTTAAAAATGTGATGTGCTGGCAACAATTCCCAGACTTCTTTCATTCCTGTTAATCATATTGACCATATTCTTAAGAGATGATGTGTGGACATCTGCATGTTTAAAAAAGCTCTCTAGATCAGTGGTCCCTAACCGTTTTGGCACTATGAACCAAATTTTTCCATGGACTGGGGAGGGGGACTGGAGGGATGGAGATGGTTTCTGGATGAAACTATTCCACCTCAGATCATCAGCAGTCAGACATTAAATTTTCATAAGGAGTGCCCTCAATCCCTTGCATTTACAGTTCACAACAGGGTTGACACTCCTATGAGAATCTCAGGTCACTGCTGATTTAACAGGAGACTGAGCTCAGGCAGTAATGCTCACTGGCCCACTGCTCACCTCCTGCTGTGTGGCCCAGTTCCTAGCAGGCCATGGGTCTGTGTCCCAGCAGTTGCGGACCCTTGCTCTAGATGATTCTCATGTACTCCAAAGGGTGGTTTCCCAAATCTGTCTGATCATCAGAATCATTTAGGAAACTTGCTTTTTCCCCATTTAAAATTTTGTTCATTTGTTTTAGAATGTGGCTTTATTTTAACTGAGCCATGTTACCATTTTTTAAAATTGTGAGTTCATATTATGAAAGGTTCTGTGTTTTAGAACAGTGGTTCTCAACTAGTGGCATTGTCTGCAGATATTTTTTATTATTATGACTTGGGGGTTACTACTGGCATGTTGCTAGACAGAGGCCAAGGATGCTCCTAAACAACCTTCAGTGCCCAGGACACCTTCCACAATTGAGTTTTCTGGGACTTACCCCAGACTATTCATTAGGAATATTTAATAGCTAGGATCCTGGAGTTAGTATATTTATTGTTCAGTTATTTTTATCAGAAACACGTTTAATCTAATTCTTCATGCAGACACACACACACACACACACACACACACACACACACTAGTGAAATCCATTCCTGAGAATGAAATTTATCATGCTTTTACTTCTTCCTTCAATCTCCTCAACTACTGTTGAAATGATCTGAGATTTTAGGTCTCCATTATAATTGTTATTTTTTAACATTATCTTCTGTTTCAAGAATACTTTTGACATTTGCATTAAGTTTCATAGCTTTTAAACAAGCATTATACATTTACACCTGCTTAACTGATTTCATTGATCACTTCATTTCATTTATACTGTATATCCTCATTATTTCTATTCATTTCACAATTAACTTTAGTACTTCTTTTAGTATTTTTCTTTTTAAAGAAGAGATGGGTGATAAAGTATTGTATGTCCTTACATACCTGAAGATACTTTTGTTTGATGGAGTGTAACATCTTTTTCTAACAGTGACTTTTCCCTTAGAAGGCTAAAGTCACAGAATATTGTCACGTCAACTTAGCATTGCCCAAGAGAAGTCCAAACTCTTTGGGCTTTCTTTTCTAGGTACCTTTGGGTTATCTTCCCACAATGATGTTTATAGATTCCTTACTCTCTCCTTGGAACACAGAAATTTCATTGAATATGAAATTTCAATGTTTTTTAAAATAGATCTCTTTGTATTATTTTAGCATGGTACTAGATAAGATGTTTTAGTGTGTAGTTGCAAGTGGTTTTCCAACTCTGGGAATTTTACTTCTATCGATTTTTTTTTCTTTTCCTAATATTTTTTTCATTCTTTTTTCTTAACCTTTTGAAATTTTTATATTGATCCCCTAGATCTGTCCTCTGTTCTTACTAGTTTTTGCTCATTATATTTATCTTTTTATCCTTTCCCCTTAGAATCAGTATTTCTTAAAATAAGCTTCTGTGAATCTGAGTTAGAGCCAAATTGGAGAAGTCTTATGGTGAAGGGTCAGCAGTGTTTACATGGGAGAACCCATCTCAATTGTGCCTCTTGTTATTTTGCTGCCTGATTCAATCAGTGGCAGATAATCATATTAAATATATTTAGAGTACTCCTTTTAAATGAATTACCTCTCTTTGAAATGCAGTTAATTTACATTGAGAATAGTTAACAAATTTGTATATACATATGCAGGCAATAATTTTTATGAGCCGAGCTGACATGATTAAAATGTTTCCTTCATAAACCATCCTGTGTGGGTATTTTTAAATTTTCCTCAGTATGATTCCAGAGGGCATTAACTTTTTTAAAAAATGTTTATAGTAAAGAATTTGGAAAATATGACAATATAGAGGAAAAAAATGGTTCTCACAGAGATAACTGTTCACATAGGAGTACAATTTTATTCAACTTTCATTGTTTAAACGTTATTAAACTTTTAAGGTTGTAGAAGTAACAAATACTCTTCTGTCTTAATTTGTATTTTTAAAATACTTTTCTCTTAAGATTATGGAAGTGAATGGACAAAACTTTGAGAATATTACATTTATGAAAGCCCTTGAAATTTTGAGGAATAATACTCATCTTGCACTTACTGTAAAGACCAACATTTTTGGTGAGTTTTGTTATAAAAATTGCCTGACCTTTTTCTTTTTAATTTGGTAATAGGAAAGTCATTACAGTGAAAGAGAAGATTGTAAGATGTAAACATGTTTTTGTCTAAACTCTTTAGTGTTAGAATCTTTAGTGTTGAACCATCATGTATTCTAGAATTGTTAATTTTTATTATGCTTTTAATTATTTTGTTAGAAAATAAGTTTTAAAATAGATAGAGAGCTATATTCAGTCATTTATGAAATGTCTGTTAAGCATGTATTATGTACTCTGGAGGGATACAGAATGAAAGGTAGAATGACCTGAGTAAAACAAAGAAGTCATAATTAGGCATTTTTCCCCCAGCTAGTGTGCAAATCAGTATGCTTCTAATCTTTAAGCTAACTTTCTAAAGTAATACCAGTGCCAGATTAGCTGTTTTATGGAAATAAACTGAGCAAAGCATTGACTTTAAGTATTCAGTGAATTACAGATTTCTAGTAACAGCATACTCTACCTTTGTATGGAAAAATGATTCTAGTACCTGTATTGTGTTTTTATCATGTTTATATTTAAATAAAACTAGTGACTAAGCTCATACTTTTAACCAAATCTAGTGTTTGCTTTTTTAAACTTTTTGGAAAGATTTACTGTCATTTGGTTTCCTTAGACACTTGAGGATTTTTGCTGAAATTCTGAAGAGCAACAGTAAAAGTTGTATCACGATTGAAATATGAAAGAAAATTTAAGTGTCTTTATGAAGTAGGGAAGAAAACAATTTCTGTAGGTTAGAATTTGAGAAGTAAGAGTTGGCCTGTGGAAAGGAAGTGTGAGTTTTATTTTTTTCACTTTGGCTTCTTATATTGTGTTTAGTCATGATTCAAAATGAAACATTTGGGGTTTGTCCTCTTTCTTTTTGTGAACCTTTGACTGAATTACATCATGTTAAATCTGGATTATAACTGTCAATTGGTAATTTCTTAATATTATGTTAGCATAGAGTAAGTTAGTAAGCCTTCAGAATTTTTTGATTTCCTGGTGTTTGGACAAGTATCTAGAAATGCCAACTTTTAGTTTATATGAAAGAAAATCCAGTTTTGAAAAATACGAAAGCAGTACTTGCTCTCTTACTTTGAGCAAATTATTTAGTCTTTCCAAGATTCAATTTTTCTAGCACTATTTCCTAGATTTCTTCTCTAAGTATTTTAGACCTTTAAACCTTTTGTTCTAGTCATATAAAGATTGCTAACTGGTATTCAATATTCTGAATAAAAATACAGAGATAGTGTGAACCCCCAGGAACCCTGGGACCCAGAAGAAGTAGGTCTGAAGGATGTAAAGGACAGAAGCCATACCCTCAGAACCCTTTGAGTGGTGAGAAAACAGCTGCCCAACAAAACCCTAGATTGGATATGGCAGAGGGTGAAGTTACATGGTGATGCAAAGGGGGAACATAGCAGTCAGCTCTTCCTTACCCTAGGTGGAATGGAGTAAACCAAGCAAAACACCCAAGGGGCATCTCCAAGGAACATTTGTAAAATGTTTTTAGAAATGGAGCATTTTACTCTAGATATGATGCTCATAATAAAGCCCTAATAACTCTGGCATTACCATGAAATAGAGTTGAGCAGTTAGGTCATCCTATATCAAACTCACAGTCAGGACACCTATAAAAAGGAAAGCATGACCAGAAGACATTTGTTTAGTGATATCAGAGCAAACCGTTCTTGGTCCTTTTATATTAATTGATATTACTTAAAACTGACAGTCAGGGGTCACCAAGACCCACACCCCTAAGAGGGTGTGGTAGAGACCTAATGAGTGATGTTGCAGATTCTGGAGTATTTAAAGAAGAAAAACATTTCTAGAATACTGCACAGAGCAATTTAAAATTTTATCCCTTGACACAAGAACAAGATATTAGGAAAGAATAAACAACAATCATTGAGAAAGAAATAACTCTTACCGACAAGCATTCATTTGAAGGTATAGATGATAAAGCTGAGAAAAATCTCCCAGACTATGGAACAAGAAGACAAAATAAAATTAAGCTCTATTCCAGTTAATCTCAAAGAAAATGTGAGGAAGAAGATATTTAGGAAATAATAGCAGCGGGTATCCCAGAGTAAAAGAAGGATGTGACTCTTAAAATTCAAAGGCCTCACTATGAGCTGAGGAAAATGGATTAAACAACAACAACGAACATCTTGTGTCAAGTTTCTACTTCCAGTATTGACTGAAGACAACCTAAAAGAGCTAGACTAAATATGAAAAGCTATAAACAAACATAAAAATCCAAAAAAAAAAAAAAAAAGTGAAAAACTCTGGATGTACCTTTTCCCACTCCTGAGACTATATCCCAAAGTGATGTCTTTTTTTCCAGGGCCATTTTCCCATCCACAGAATATAACTGAGAGAGCATCTTGATTAACTTACAGGTTTGTAGTTTAGTGCCCACCAAAGGATAAAACTGTTGCGTTACAACCTCATTAGGATTGAGACACTGAAATGCTCTCTCTGAAGTAGATGTGCGCTGTACCCTACTTGTCCCTCTAGGACTTAGAAAACTTACAGTTTTGGCCCTGGTCTTAGATTACAGGTGCCTGACAAAAGAAAATACTGTATCTTCTTTAGAGGATACTAATAGCAACTTGTTATTTCTAAAAATAATGTTTTAAAAGCAGAGTCAAGCAAAGATTATGAGGCACTCTTAAAAGTCCATATGAGCCAGAACCAACAGAAACAGAAGCACAGGTGCTCCAAAATATCAGACACAGATTGAAAGTTTGTTATCTTATGTCCATGAAGATAAAAATCAAATGTTTCAGTTTCAGATAGAATAAACACACACCACCCTTCATCTCCCACTGAACTTAATACTAAACCTGGGCCGAATCTTGACCCACCTATTTGAGAACTCTGAAAAGCAAATAGCAATAGCAATTCACAGAATACCAGAAATCAGAGTACCACCATCAGCAGTGAATTTACTATTATTTTAATTCTAGTATGCCCTAGGTTGGACTCAAGGCCACCTGAAACCTGGATGTGAGTACTGTGGTGCATACAGAGATCCAGGAGAAGCCTGGCTTGAGAAGTGAAAAAAGGGAACTCCTACTAACAGCAGTTGTCCTGTGGAGAAAAGTGACACTGCTTTTAGGCTTCATTGTGTTCTAGTTTTCATGCAAGCCCTCACAGCCATCTAAGGTTCTCTTTCGCCTAGAAGAGTCCTTCTACCTGATCCACACTTCATGTTTAGATTTAGCAAATGCACTCAGAGAAGAAAACAGCTGACAATCTCAGATTACTCTCTTCCTGTTCTGGAATTTTAATTCATCTATTCCTCTTGGCTTCCACAGCTTTCTAACATCTTTAAAAATCCAACTTCTGGCCAAGCATGGTGGCTCATGCCTGTAATCCTAGCATTTTAGGAGGCTGTGGTGGGAGGATCAAGTGAGGCCAGAGTTCCAAGTCCAGCCTGGGCCACATAGTGAAACCCCTGTCTTGAAAAAAACATTAAAATTTAGCTGGACATGGTAGCATGCACCTGTAGTCCCAGCTACTTGAGAGGCTGAGTCAGGAAGATCACCTGAGCCCAGGAGTTTAAGACTGTAATGAGCTGTGATTCTGTCCCTGCACTCTAGTCTGGGTGACACCCTGTCTCTAAAAAACAAAAATCCCACTTCTTAAATAACTTGTCATTTTAAGTTTTAATAAAAGTAATACGTGCATATATTTTGAAAATTAAAATACTAAAGATAGGTGTACATTGGGACTGTACTTGGTACAATGTTCTGTACCTTTTCACATCAGTTCATACAGATTTACTTGTTACATGATTTTTATTATTACCATAATCTTTTGAGTTAATGTCCTATAGATATTTTAGATTGTTTATGGTTTTTGCTGTTAACAGTGATATAATAAAAACTCTTTGTACTTTTATGCTCATATAGATCCAGCTATGTGATAAATTTCTCAAAGTGGAATCACTTTTGACAGACACTACAGGTTTTACTTTCTGGAAGTATATCACGACCTGTGCCTCATTCATCAGTGTATAAGAATACCTCTGCAGTGAATCTAATCAACCTTTTAAATTACTATATACATTATTTAATAATGAGTAAGGCTGAGCACCTTTTTTTTTAATGTGTTTTGGCATTTCTATAAAGTCTTTTAATTTCATCTGCCCCTTTTTATATTTTTACTCATCTTTTATTGACTTGTTTGAGCACTTTATAAATTAAAATAGTATTTTTCAGCTCTTCTTAAAGAGTTTACAAGTTGAAAGTATTTTCCCCAGTGGTTTGTGTTTTGACTTTTGTTTCATGTGTTTGTGAATGCATGCACACATATGTAGAAAGAGAGACATTTTAAATTTTTATATAGTCAAATTTATTAAGCTTTTATAGATTCTTGGGCACTTTTACTTTTGATTCATATACAATGCCTGATATTGCTCTTTAATAGCATTGTAATTATGTGTACTCAGTATCCTTTCATTTTAACACAATCATTTCTCTTCCTTATCAACATACTACAAGCTCCACAAATTTTTACTTATAATTGCATACCCCAGTCCAGTGGGGAAATTTAACCTTTTTTTTTTTTGAGACAGTCTCACACTTTTGCCCAGGTTGGAATGGAGTGGCTCAATCTCAGCTCACTGCAACCTCTGCCTCCTGGGTTCAAGCAATTCTCCTGTCTCATCCTTTGGAGTAGCTAGGTTTACAGGTGTGTACCACCACGCCCAGCTAATTTTTATATTTTTAGTTTCACCATGTTGGCCAGGCTGGTCTCAAACTTCTGAACTCAGGTGATCCACCCACCTCCACCTCCCAGAGTGCTGGGATTTCAGGCATAAGCCACCATGCCCAGCCAAAGTTGATGATTTTTCAAAATAATTCAGTTACTTTGTATACCCATTACTAAGGAAATCTGCTGCCCCTTCACAGTTTCCCTGTTGCTCTAACAGAAAATTTGAATACCTTAGTTTGGCATTATCTGGCCTCATCTCTACCTTGTTCTGTAGTCATTTTCATTTTCTTGAACTTTCCTTCTACCACAGGGACTTTGAACTTGTGATTTTTCTCTACCTAAGATTACTCATCCTTTTCCCTCTTTGCCTAGTTAAAATCTACTCATCCTTCTGATCTCTTTTTAATAGATGACTTGCTTAAGGAAGATTGCCCTTTTCTACTCTAAAGTAGTTCCTCTGGTTATATTTCATACATCTTAGACTGTCTGTAAGCTCCACAACAGGAGTAATATACAGACATCTAGTGAAGTGCTTGACCTGTGTTCATATGTTAGTATTTTTTGAATGAATGAATATCTGAATTTTAAGCTAAAAAAGTATTGGCTGGCTGTGGTGGCTCCTGCCTGTAATCCCATCACTTTGAGAGGCTGAGGCAGAAGGATCGCTTGAGCCTAGGAGTTCAAGACTAGTCTAGGAAACATAGTGAGACCGCATCTCTACAAAAATAGAAAAAATGAGCTGGGTGCTGGGTGCAGTAGTACATGTTTGTAGTCTCAACTACCCAGCAGGCGGAAGTGGGAGTATCACATGAGCCTTTAAAGTCAAGGCTGCAGTGAGCTGTGCTCATGCCACTGCACTCCAACCTGGCCAACAGAGTGAGAGCCAACCCTATTTCCAAAAAGCACATACATACGTATACACAGATACACATATGTATACACAAATACGTACATGTATGTATATATTATTACCATATGGCTTAAAATAAAATTTTAAAATATAAATTTTATTCTAATGCAGACTTTATGGAAGTTAACTCTAAAAAATCTCCATCATTTTGAAAGCAGAAATATATGCTTTTCTTTCTTTCTTTTTTTTGTGTTTCTTTCTTTTTCTTTAATATTCCTAGTAGGAATTTAAAATTGCATATGTAGCTCACATTGTATTTCTTTTTTTTTTTACTTGCATTTTAGGTTTTGGGGTACATGTGCAGAACATGCAAGATAGTTGCATAGGTACACACATGGCAGTGTGTTTTGCTGCCTTCCTCCCCTTCACCCACATTTGGCATTTCTCCCCAAGCTATCCCTCCCCCAGCTCCCCCCTCCCCCGCTGTCCCTCCCCTATTCCCCCCAATAGACCCCAGTGGGAGTACTATATGCTTTTCATAAACTTGCACTGTGCTTTAGTAATGTGGTATCATCCTTCTGTTGAAACCCTGAAATCAGTCCAGATTTTGCAAGTGAATACCAAGTCGTAAATGTTTTAATCAATTCTTAAGGCTTTAAGAATTTCTGTCTTACTTCTGAGTCCTTTGATTTTTCTGTTTTTCTTTTCTGTTGGTTTCCAAAACAATTCTCTGTGATTGGATTTTCGGTGGCCATGTTCACACAATTTACAGCTTAAAAAAAACGTGCAGCATAACTACTCAAAGCTGTATCTAATGATAAGCTTAGTGTTTGCTTCCACAGCTCATATAGTTGAAGACCTTTAAGTCTCTTCTAAGAATACGCAAGCACTATTTCTCTAATTCAGTGTCCTCTTTGGACACCATGACTAATCATTTCTAGATATTTAACTTTATGCAGATTTATCTTTGCTTTATCCCAAGGAGATGCAGCCATTCTCACAAGGTGAAAATTTGGTGTAGGCACATAGACAGGGAATTTCCCAAATGTACCTGCACCCTCATTAAGGATGAAATTCACCAGACTTAGTTAGACTTGATAGAAGGATACTTGAGTCTGGACATGGTGGCTCATGCCTGTAATCCCAGCACTTTGTAAGGCTGAGACGGGCAGATCTATAGAGCCTAGGAGTTGGAGGCCATCCTGGGCAACATGTCAAAACCCCATCTCTACAAATAAACTACAAAAAACCTGGTATGGTGGCATGCATCTGTAATCCCAGCTCCTTGGGAGGATCTCCTGACCCCAGGGAGGTCAAGACTGCAGTAAGCTGTGATCATGTCACTGCACTTAGGCTGAGCAACAGTGAGACCCTTTCTCAGAAAAAAAAAAAAAAAAAAGCAGGTATTTAAGATATGATTGGTTGTTTACTTCAGACCACTGAAATGGATTTTTTTTTAGCAGCTTTACTAAATGACAGCCTCATGAATGTGACCTTGGGAAATCATTATATATTACCAAATTTAAATTACCAAAATTAGGCCAGGCATCGTGGCTCACGCCTATAATCCTAGCACTTTGGGAGGCCGAGGTGGGTGAGTCACCTGAGATCAGGATTTCAAGACAAGCCTGGCCAACATAGGGAAACTCTGTCTCTACCAAAAATACAAAAATTAGCCAGGTGTGGTGGCGCATGCCTGTAATCCCAGCTACTTGAGAAGCCAAGGCAGGACAATCCCTTGAACCTGGGAGGCAGAGGTTGCAGTGAGCTGGGAGCGTGCCACTGTATGTACTCCAGCCTGGGCGACAGAGCAAGACTCCATCTTAAAATCAGTCAATCAGTAAATAAATAACCAAAATTACTGTTTTTTTGGTAAAAGTAAAAATAAAGCCCAACAAAGCTTTTTTCATCTAAGTTTTACTATCTGGCCCTGACTCTAGTAGTCAGGTCTCATCTCAAATGACATTCAGGTCTCATCTCAAGTGACATATGTAGTTATCCCCTGGTATATGCATAGTGTTGGTTACAGGACCTCCATCCCATGTACACCAAAATTCATGCATATTCAAGACCCACAGTTGGTCCTTCAGAGCCATAACACAGGTTTTTGCATCTCAAAAATACTGTATTTTCAGTCCACGTTTGGTTGAAAAAAATCCAAGTATAAATGGACCCACGTAGTTCAAACACATGTTGTTCAAGGGTCAGCTGTATTATAAGGAATAACATACGATAGAACCTGAATATCTGTTTTTATAAAATTAGTTGATTAGCAGTTATATTAGTTACTACCCTAAATAGGAACCTTTGTTTTTTCAAACATGCCTGCAGCCTGCCCACTTCCTTTCTCTTTCCCCTCAACTGACTTTCCTTTTATTAGTGTTAGGCAACATCAGAAGTATAGTGAGGTATGAAAACTAAAGAAAGAAGTAGATATAGCTGCTAAAGGGTGAGTAAATACTTGATAATGTTTAGTTGAGACTGCGAAAGTTCAGATAATGGAAAGTGACTGTGTCTATTCTTAAAATTTGTTTTTGGTATAAAAATATTCTAAAGAAATGACAAGTGTGTTTCATTTCCACAGTGTTCAAAGAGTTACTTTGTAGGACTGAACAAGAGAAATCTGGTGTGCCTCATATTCCAAAAATTGCTGAAAAAAAAAGTAATCGCCATTCTATCCAGCATCTTCCAGGAGATATTGAACAGGCATCACAAGAGAAAGGAAGTAAGAAAGTTAAAGCAAATACTGTTTCAGGTGGAAGAAACAAAATCAGGAAGATATTGGATAAAACACGATTTAGTATCTTGCCTCCAAAACTATTTAGGTAAGTAAGGCCAATCTTAGCCATGCAGAAATTTTCATATTCACTGTAAAGTTTTTATTTGGGGTTGAGAGAGGCTTGGGTAAGTTTTGCTTAATATATAACTAATGTATCATAAAGTCTTCAAACAGTACTTATATAAGAATACATTTGAACATCTCCCTGTCACTTTCATGAAGTTACCACTTTCAGATTATACAATAGCATTATTTTGAATTTTGGAAATTTTAGTCTCCTGATTTACAAATTGTACACCTTAAATCTTGGGACCCATTCACCAGTTTGTTGTTGTTGTTGTTGTTTTAATCATTTTTTCCTTGTAGCACCATTTATTCCTTCTTGAACTGTAAATTTGAACTTTTTAATCAGACCTATTTCTGTTTCCAAATGGGTTATCACCAAAACATACTAATACTTGAAGATTTTAAATGTTAATTAGGTCTGTAAAATAATGATGAAATCAGTCCATTAAAGTGTCATGATTGTGGGTGACTCTAGTCTATAGTACATTAGCAGCTTCCCGAAGCAGTTACAAAAGTTCTAATCAAGAGCAGTACAATACTTAGCACATAGTAGGCCCTCAGTTAGTATTTATTGAATAAGTTAAGACAGTAAATAATCAGTGAATGAAATAAAGCATGTTCAAAAAATATATTAAAAGAAAATATTTGCCTCTTGAAAGTTCCTGGTAGTTGTGCTAGGTGATAGTTACAGAAATAAAGAGATAGTCCTTACCTCTGAGGAATTCACATCAGGAACCCTTATTCTCTAAACATTTATTATATACTAAGCCAGAGATGGGAAGATTAATATATCAAGGTTCTTATCCTCTAAGAGTTGATAATCTAAGCAAATTGCAAAGTTCTCACATTGCAGGGTGATAAGTGGAGGCAGGAACAAACTGTTAGGTTTGAATAGACTATGTTTCTGTGTATACAACTAGAGCCGGAGCAAGAGAAGTAGGTTATGAGAGACCTTGAATATTATGCTAAAGATAACAGACTTCATCATGTCATGACAGGGAGCCATAAGAAGACATGTGATTTGATAAGATTTGTTCTTTTAGAAAGACTTCCTTGATGGCTATGTTAGTGATTTGGGATTGTGGATACAGCACAATATAGCAGTGATAGCAGGGAGAACAATTGGGCGGCAACTAGGAATTGTGTCGGCTCTCATCTTAATGACAGCTATTTAAAAAATTTTTTTCAATAATTAAAAATCTCAAAGATTTTTCAATCAGAAATGCTTGTCTTCCTGAATTCTTATTTCTAGTCAGGGAAACACATTTACTCCTCATTTAATTTTGAACTCAGAGAAATGAAATACCCTGAGCTTTGTTCTTAATCTCACTGATTTCTAAAAGTTCATTACTCATTTGATCCTTGAGGTGAGTGGCTTTTAAAAATCATTACTTTAAAATGCCAAAAGTTTTGAATGTCGAGTGTACTGTAGCAAACACTGTAAGAAAAGATTTGGTCTCACAAATTTGTATTGAGTAAGGAGAATGTTAGAGGGGCCAGCTCACACTGAAGAGATAGGGGACAGTTGGGGATGATCAGAAATCACTGTGGAAAAGGGACAAAACTGAGGATCCAGAAGGCAGAAGAGAATGCACAAGGAGAATTCCTCAGGGCCTGAAGGCCCTGAGTTCCAATTCCAGAAACCTTGATGAGTTTCGTCTGGAATACATCTGTTTCCCATTAACTGCGTCTCATTTTGACCAGTGACACAGTTGTGACGTGTGTCATCTAAAGCCAGACAACACTGTAATTATAACTCTTCAGCTTGTTAGTATCACATTCAAACTAGCTGTAGTTAAGTTTCAGGCGGCTAAATCAGTATCTCATCTCCACATCCTTTGGTGAAGTGGGTGGGAATTAGTTACTGTACTTGAATTCTATCTTTGGTTGCTGCAAGAGGCATAGAACTGAGGTCGCCAGGAACAATCAGTTGACTATTTAAAGTATTATAACTTTATATTGGTACCCAATAAAAGAGGACCATCTGGTAAAAATAGTTTTACTTAAACTCAGAAGGGGTTGTTGGATCTCTTGCTTTGTGGCAACATGAAAACACTTGGTTATAAATATAAATATGAATGAAATTATGCACTTCAGAAGTTTATGTTAACCGGTCCCTTCTAAACATGTTTCATTAAAGTAAAATGCTAATCATTTCAGATAAATACAGAAAACAGAGGTTATCTTAGAAGTCACAGGTTTCTGGAGCCTGTTTTGTTGGGAGAGCTGATGTTACCTATCAGACTGGCCACTTTGCATTTTTGAGAATGTATCTTCTATTTCTTGACAGTCATTAGAAGAGAATTCAGACAATTCCTTCTGCTACATGAAAGTATATGATCCTTTGTATATAAAGAGTTCTCAGAAATCAGATAGAAAAAAAAATCACTAAAACTTCAGTGGAAAAATAGGCAGAAAAACGTGACACAGATGTTCCATATTGATACTGATACCGTATATACAGTTTAATACTGGATACCATTTTTTCATCAGAGATTGACAAAAAGAATGGTCAGGGACAGAATTGATAATGCAGTAAGTTTATAAAAGTTCAGACTGGTGTAGTAGTATAAAGTAATGCAACTTTTCCATTAAAAGCTTTAAAAGTCGCAAAATTCTTGCTGGATGCGGTGTCTTAATGCCTGTAATCCCAGCACTTTGGGAGACCGAGGTGCATGGATCACTTGAGGCCAAGAGGTCAGGACCAGCCTGGCCAACATCGTAAAAGCCCATCTCTACTAAAAATACAAAAAGCTAGCTGGACATGGTGATGTACACCTGTAATCCCAGCCACTCAGGAGGCTGAGGCAAGAGAACTACAAAAATTAGCCAGGTGTGGTGATGCACACCTATAATCCCAGCTACTGGAGAGGCTGAGGCAGGAGAATCACACCTATAATCCCAGCTACTGGAGAGGCTGAGGCAGGAGAATCACTTAAACCCAGGAGATGGAGGTTGTGGCAAGCCAAGATCTTGCCACTGCACTGCAGGCTGGGTGACAGAGTGAAACTCGGTCTCAAAAAAAATAAAAATAAAATTTTTAAATTTTTAGTAGAGGCAGGGTTTCACCATGTTGGCCAGGCTGGTCTGTAACTCCTGATCTCAGGTGATCCACCTGCCTCAGCCTCTCAGAGTGCTGGGATTACAAGTTTGAGCCACCGTGTCTGGCCAATAAATATTTTTAAATGGCAAAATTTTTTGATTCAGTAATTCTGTTTCTAATAGTAATTCGATGAAGATGTATATATAGATGCTTTCAGTTGTTTTATCTATACTAAAACAAAATTGGGAACACCCTAAACGTCCAACTACAAGGATTGGTTAAATAAATTGTGCTATACATCAGAAAAATGACTAGAAGGAAAAATATCAAAATGTTGATTGTGGTTTTTGGAAGGCATGGTTTCATAGGTAATTTTTCTCTTTCTTCCATGCTTTCTTTCTGTATTTTGAAAATTTTCTTCTTGAACATTTGTTATTTTTTAATTAAAAAAGAAATGTTTAATTAGTTCAGTTTCACGATTTCTGAGCATCTCCTGTGTGCCAGACCTCTTTGGAAGAGGCACCAAGAACAGAAACTAGTTTTCTGCCTTTAGCACTCACTTCTGTAAGAGTAGGGTATGAGTTGTCATAGAAAAGAAACAAATGCCTGCATCTGTGAGAGGAGCAGAGAAAGAATATTGTAAGGAAAGAACAAATACTTGAGATAAGAATAGGTAATTCCAAAATCCCAAACAAATCATGATATAATTTTAAAAGAATGTTTCCAAAAATTAAAGTGAAAAATGTTACTGATTTTAATTACATCTGTAAATTAAGACAGAGGTATGGTTTTTATTGACCTAAGAATACTTCACATTTCAGGAAATTTGATTTTCTTTTTTAAAAATCACGCAGCTTTTATTTTGTTTTTAAAATCACAGTTGCCTAAGTAACATCTTTGTATTATTCGTTGTAACAATCCCAGAAATAAACTGCCCTGCTTGTTGAACGAGGGTTAGTATTTTTTCCTCCCCATTTCTTGTCAAAATACTTACTTTTGTTTGCTTTTTAAATATTGGTATTCTTTTGAATTTGCATATTGATGATACATACGTATGTGGCCTTTTTAGTTTAATCAGATGAAACTAAGTACTTTTATCCTAAGTAAGTTTAGTATTGGGCAAGTATTGAGGAATCTTTTTAAACAATTTTGTTTCTGTTAACTGCATCACCTTCTCAGGAGACTGTTTTGGTAAGAATGATACGATTACTTGCCAAATGGGCTTTATCAATTCAGCTTTCAAATAAGCATGGTTATTTTGCCAACTAAATACTGTTTCATTCATGGCATAGCATGGATTGTACATGACAGTATAGTTTTCATTTATGCACCTCACGCCTTAATTACTATGAATTTGTAACCAGCTTTACATATTTATAGCTGTACAGTGTTGTCTCTATTGAGTATTCAAAAGCAGAAGTGATGTAAATAGCATGAGTAAGAGATATCAGAACTTTTAGTATTTCCTGTACTTTTTTTTTTTTTTTGAGACAGAGTCTCGTTCTTGTCGCCCAGGCTGGAGTGCAGTGGCACGATCTCGGTTCATTGCAACCTCTGCCTCCAGGATTCAAGCAATTCTCCTGCCTCAGCCTCCCAAGTAGCTGGGATTACAGGAGTGTGCCACCCTGCCCAGCTAATTTTGTATTTTTTAGTAGAGATGGGGTTTCACCATGTTGGCCAGGCTGGTCTAGAACTCCTGACCCCAGGTGATCCACCTGCCTCTGCCTGTACTTCTCCACCTCTATAGTGATTCCAGCTTGCTGCAACTGATGCAGTTAACTACCTTTAATAGAAAATTGTAACTTTTTAACATTATTAAAGTGGATTCTACTTTATTAGTAGGACTTGGTAACCTCTTTAATAGTTTGCTTCCTTGGATTGTTATCACACCCTCTGTGTCCAAAAATTGATCTGTTTGTTTTAAAAGATCAACTAAAGAAAGACTGTTTTTTTAAAACATCTTTATTTTCTATATAATTTAAATACCTTTGAAGGCCCTTTTATCTAAGCTTAGAACATTTAACTCTGATATTTAGGAATACTAACCTAATTATAAGAAGCCAATTTAGGGTAAATGCAAATTATTTATCAAATGAGGTATTTCCTTTACTTTATCTGTCAAATTCGATTGCCTTTTCTCCCCAGGAAAGTACTTCCTATTTCTATAGTGCCTTTACTTAGACCTACCTTGTCCTCCTTTACTTTTCAATATAAATTGACTAAAATAAGTATTTCTCCCTTCTTGGTTTATACTGTTCTTATTTATTTATTTATGTTTGAGATGGAGTCTTGCTCTGTTGCCCAGGCTGGACTGGAGTGTCACGATCTCAGCTCACTGCAGCCTCCACCTCCCAGACTCAAGGGATTCTCCTACTTTCGATAACTGGGATTAGACTCCCGCCACCATGCCTGGCTAATTTTAGTATTTTTAGTAGAGTCGGAGTTTCACCATGTTGGCCAGGCTGGTCCTAAACTCCTGACCTTCAATGATCCATCCACCTCAGCCTCCCAAAGTGCTGGGATTACGGTGTGAGCCACTCCCACCCAGCCGTATTCTAATTTTAACTTTTGTAAAAATCTCTTCTTAAAAGTCCTGTGTGGCCAATCGTGGTGGCTCATGCCTGTAGTCCCAGCACTTTGAGAGGCCGAGGCATGTAGATCACAAGGTCAAGAGATCAAGACCATCCTGGTCAACATGGTGAAACCGCCCCCCCCACTAAAAATACACAAAAATTAGCTGTGTGTGGTGGCGCACACCCATAGTCCCAGCTACTCGGGAGGCTGAGGCAGGAGAATCGCTTGAACCTGGGAGGCAGAGGTTGCAGTGCACTCCAGCCTGGTGACAGAGGGAGACTCCGTCTCATAAATAAGTAAATAAGTAAGTCCTGTGTTCCTTTGCACCAAAACATTTGCCTTTATTACCTAATTTTTTAGTATTCCTGGGAGAGATAGTATTATTCACATTTACAGATGAGAAAAACAAGGTTTAGAAAGAGAACAAAATTTGTCTGAAGTCAAGCAGCTAATAGCTCAGGTCTGCCTGACATCAAAGCTTGCTCTTGAAACACTAATCTTTGCTTTCTTCCATGTCTTTCTGCTTTTCTCTGGCTCTTCAGCTCTCTCAGATCCTGGCCTTCTCTTCCTTGTCTATTAACAGTCCTTTTGCAGTTTATTCAACAGTCTAACCCTTCATCTTGCATAGTTTTCTAATCTACCTAAAATCCTATGTTTTACATCTAGCATAATTTAAACGTATTCCATATTATTTATAATACTGTACCTTAATTTTTTTCATGATAGTAGGTAAGTACTCTGTGGTACTTCTGTTTGTATGCACAGTAAGTACTAAGCAGAATGTTGCATTGGATAAAATATAGACAAGAATTAATAGTAACTGAAAGCATTGGTTTTAACGTAAGTACAACCCTTAGAAGTAGGTTTTGGTTATTGATGTTAATGGACTTCTTTTTCACTGATATCTTACGTTTTTGTTGACTCTTTTGCTTTAAAATAAGCTAATATTTTTGGATTTTGAAAACCTAAGTGATGGTGTTTGTTTCTTTGTTTTTATTTTTTCTCTTAGGTGGATTTAGAGTTGCCTATGTCACACTTCTAAAATATTTTAAAGGAAGAGTATTTTGTTTGCTTAAATAATTAGGCTTGAGAGATTAAATAAGAAATAATGTACTCTTAGAATGAACTTTAGAGACTGTAATTTTCGTAATTCAATTTTTTTTCTGGGTCATTGTTTAAAGACTACTCTTACTTTGTTACTTGAACTTGGCCCCATTATTATCTACAACCTGCCGTATTTTTTGGTTTGAATGTAGACTCCATCTGTTTCCTAGATGATCACCAGGATTTTCTGGTGAGAAAGGGAAAGAGAAAGAGAACATCTTGCTATGGTGTGGCTGTGCATTTTTGGATACATATATTAGTGTCCACTAAAACTGGCAAATTTCAAGTGTTCCCTAAATACTCAGATTCAGTTTCTTCACCCAAACCAGTAGATACTAAATAAGACAGTTTAATTTAGGATACAGTAGAATTATTTAGATGTATAAGTTAAATTTTATTTTAATGTAATTGTTTAAAAATATTTTAATCCCATTTTCATCATTACAATTGTCTTTTTAAAAATTGCTGTAGTATTTCAGTTGTTTAAATCACCTCTTTGAATTGGTTCTGTTATGCCTTAGTGTACAGGGAACAGAAATGTTTACTACTTAAATACTTTCAAATACTTTGAAGTGATATATGACATTCTTTTGAAGTGATGGAGGCCTAAGCCAATCACAAGATGACAGCATTGTGGGAACAAGGCACTGTAGGCATAGTCTGGCTATAATGCCCATTCCTGGAACACTTTCATCCAGCAGCCCTGATCTCCTGCAGCCTACCACCAGTATGTTGGATTTTTCCAATCCTTCAGGTAATTTTCATATGTGATTTTATATTGCCATATTGGTACCAGATGAATAAATAGATGGTTAAGCCTTATGCAGCAAATACCAAATTTACTTGGAACCCTCTTCTCTTAACTCTAGACTTGATGCAAAAGGCTAAAGGGAGATTGTCTTGTTCGGTTAATTTGTTTAGTACTTCCTCTAAAATGAAACAGAAGTACATAAAAAAGAGACTACCTCTAACCGCAGAATTAGGTATCTTTTGGTAATCCTAATCTAAGCAGCAGAATGAGAACAGAGTCACTTCTCAGCCAAGATACAGCTTACCCACAGTGTGGAAAAGAATAAGGCAGATTGTTTTCATCTAAGTGGCTTCACTTACTTTTTTCTGTGATGTACAGAAAAGTGTTCATAATTTTCTAAAAGCAGATTTTTCCTCAAACACCTTAAGCTAAAGTTGTATTTGTCATATATTGTTATCAGAGCATTATAGCATATTTTTCATTATTGTTTGGACTTTCAATGTGGGATGTCAAGTTAATTTTTTTGGATCTATTCATGTCTAGAGGCAAAAATTGTCACAATTACATAATCTAAAATTTTGTTACCACGTAGGAAAACTTTGGCTTTGAATAATTATATATCCATTACTTAAATGATTTGAGATGGTTTTCAAAAAAAAACATAAACAATTAAAAAATGAAACATGTAATGGGATCTAAGGAAAGGTAGGAGAAAAATATGTTTCTATAAACATAAGCATAGTTCTGATTCAGCTTCAGTTTGACTCTAAAGTTCCTAGCAGCTAGTATAAAAGGGAGGAAACTCAATTCCATCTTGGTATTTATTGGAAAGAAGGAAATACAAGTGAAAGAAGTAAAGTTCATGTTTTATTATAGCATTTTAAATAAAAACCTCAAGACATAACCTAATAACAATTTAGTGAAGGTCATTCTGCACATGGTTTCTTCCTTTATATTTCAGTTGCCACTTAACCACTAGAGAGATTATTAAACCCAGTAATCTGTTCTGACATATCACACTCTCTACATGGCTACCAGTGTGCTTTTCAAAACAGAAATTTAATGGGTTATTATATTCCTAAGACATTTGTAGTGATTTTTATATTAGTGAGGTGTCATTGATGAGACAACACTTCATTTATTTGATCCAAAGTTAATGTGAAGATTGTTACCAAGGTATAAGGTTAATTAAACTATTTTCCTGAAAAGGTAAAGTAAGCATTAAGATATCACAGAGGTAAGAAAACTGCAAACTGGATTCAGTTTTTGGTACATGAAAGAAATGTCACTACCAGCGTGAAGAAGTGTTGCTGACCTGAACCGCCTTTCTAGCCGCCTCTGTTCTGTCATTCTCTCCCCACCATTACTTCATCCATCCTGCCTGAGTATGGAAAAAACTTTCAGAACACTCTTTTTTTCCCATGTTTGCCACCATGGCCCTCTCCTTGCGTGTCCTGTGAACTTTATTTTGTCAGTGCTGAACTTAAATGTTACTTCATCTGGGAAACCCACCTCCATCTGCCACAGAGTCAGCCTCTCCTGTTGTTTGCTGTGTGGCAGGATAAGAATTTATTTCTGTGTCTCTGTGTGTGTGTTCTACAGCAGTACTTTATACACTAATAGAACATTCAAAAATAAAGTGTTTTCATACCACCAAAGCACAAATTAAATATAGTATTTTCATAAGACAAGTATTAGGGACCTTATGATTTGTAGTTTTAATAATTTATATGGCTGTGTTTTTGCCATAGGTACATGTAGGACATGGGGCTGAGGGAATAAGGGATAGAGTTGTAGAAAGACGTGGAGAAGTAAGTTGGATATTTAGCTGGGGGAACAAAGAGAAGAGGTTGAAATTATTGAATTTTAGAAACTAAGTCCCATAGAGCTGTAATTCAGACCTCTGCAGAGAAGATGTGCTACTCAACTTGATTTCAGGTTGATTACATTAATTCTTGCTTTGAGAACATGTTAAAAGGACTAAAGATAAAGATGCTTTTTAAAAATCTGTTCAGAGAAAGACCAATATGTCTCAGGCTTTTTATCTAGTGATGGATATTATTTATTATTTGGATTGAAAATATGCACATTTATATTTGGATTGGAAAAATGCAATTCCCAGTTGATTCCAAGTTCAGCTTCTTATGTAATTTATACAATAGCACAAAAATTTAAATGAGCTTTATACATCACATATGTTTATTATAGGACATGTATAACAGCCAAGTTTGATTAATGTTTATCGGTGTTGAGCTTTCCTATGTTTATGCTGCATTTTCGAAGTTATTACTAGATCAAGATGAAAGTGGGGGCAAAGCTACAGAACTGTTTAATAGTTTGTTTTTGATTGCTTACTTTATGATTTTGCTTTATTTTTGCTGCATACAGCTGTTGGTTTTTATTGTAAGTATCTTGAAGATGTGGTATTCTATTGCCATTGTTTGTGTGTATTTTGTTATTTTTAAAAAATTCAGTGATACAGAATCGAATGAAGTAGTAAGCAGAACTTTTCCTTCCACTTAGAAGGTAGCCAGTATTAACTAGCATATGTCTTTTTAGTCGTTTTTAAAAAATATATGGATGTTTTTATGTTGGAGAAAATCAGAGTATACATGCTTTTCTGTAACTTCTGATATGTTCTTTGGGACTTCTGACTCAATACAAAATGAGACCCAAAATAATTAGAATTTTTAAATTTTACTCCTGTAAATTTATAAGTTAGCTCTCTAGAAATTTCATCTCTGGTTGAAAGTCTAGGAGTGTGTCCAAAAGGAATTCAAAAAGGATTTTTTTTCTAGGTCTGCATAAAGAACTTACAGCTTACTTCTTTTCACTTAATAGCACAAACCTTTATTTGATTTATCTCCTATAGTAAACTTAATTTTTTCTTCATTGAAAAGTTCTTGTTTTGACTAGTTTTTAATTATAAAGGAACACAATCACAGCTTTAAAAATATTTAAACTGCCAGAAAATGAATATAAAAGTCTCCACTCCCCAGTATTTAGTTATTAATTTACTTGTATATCCTTCCAGAAATTTTATTGCACGTAAAATGTGTGTGCCATTCCTTGCATTCCAAATGAGATGTTTTACTTTTCTTTTACTTAACTGTTTCACTTTAGCAATATACCTTTGAATACTTTTCTGTTTCACAGTGTTCTAGCAACAATTTTTAAACAGCTAATAGAGAATTTTTTTAACCAGTCCCCTATTAGTAAACACTTACAGTATTACCTAATCTTTGTGTTCACATATCTTTTTGTGTTTTATGTATGCATTATTATATTTTGAATTTTGTCAAAGTATTTTGTGGGAATTTGTTTTCTTGTTATATAAGTGCCCAAAAAATATCATGTGTTTTGCCACTTGGCCTGCAAAACTTAAAATATTTACTCGGGAGGCTGAGGCAGGAGAATTGCCTGAACCCAGGAGGCGGAGGTTGCGGTGAGCTGAGATCGCACCGTTGCACTCCAGCCTGGGTAACAAGAGCGAAACTCCGTCTCAGAAAAAAAAAAATTTACTATCTGGCTCTTTACAGAACAATTTTTTCAGTCTTTAATATACCACTACCCTTTGTTTATTTTGTGATGCTTTTCACCATATGAATTGTCTTTCTTGCTGGATGTCTGTCTGTCTTTCCTTGAGTTGTCGTTTACCCACTTGAATGTAAGTAAATTCCCTAAAATAGAGGCTTTATCTATCTCACTTATCACTGTATCTTCATCACCTGGAACACTGTTGACACATAACAGGCACTTCATAAATATTTATTCAGCAATTAACAATTTAAAGCAGAATGAAAAGGTAGTCATTTTTTTTTAAAGATCATCTTAAATACCTAAAAGTTCTCCCATTTTTAGTGTAATTTCAGGGTCAGTACATACATCCTGCAAGTATTTATTTTTTAATTTTACTCCTATAAGATTTATAAGTTAGCTCTCTAGAAATTTCTTCTCTGGTTGAAAGTCTAGATATCTGAGGTTTCTATTAATTTGTTTACCTACTAGGTACAATTTCTAAGAAATGAAATATGAACCTTGATCCTCCAATTTTTTTTTTTTTTTTTGGACAGTCTTGCTCTGTCACCCAGGCTGGACTGCAGTGGTGTGATCTCGGCTCACTGCAGCCCTTACCTCCTCAGCTCAGTGATCCTCCCACCTCAAACTCCAGAGTAGCTGGGCCTATAGGCCCACACCACCATGCCCAGCTAATGTTTGCAATTTTTGTGGAGGCAGAACTTCTCCATGTTCCTCAGGCGGGTCTTGTTCTCCTGGGCACAAGCAGTCTGCCCACCTCAGCCTCCTAAAGTGCTTGGAGTGCTAGGATTATAGGTATGAACCACCACTCCTGGCTTCCAAGATTCTTTTTAAATGTCTGTTTTGCCTTTAAAATTGTACTGTATTTTTGTGTGCTTTTTAGCTTTGTGCCTAAAATTTGAAATGATTGGATCACTTTTCCATTTTGATTCAACTTTATTCAAACATATTGACCATTCTTCTAATCGATTAACATTTGAGTGTCTGCTGCATGCCAGATATTGTATTTGGCATGTATATTGTTTTCCTACTAACAAGAAACATGTTTGTAAAGAATATTATGTAATATATATGTAACAATTCTAAAATAGAAAAAGAGGTTTACACTGTCATTAAAGTCAATGCAGAGAATTTTTTTCCTCTGATGTCTTTCCATGAGTTTTTGAAGTTGACATTTGTTACCTTGGCAGATTCATCAAAGTTAGGATTAAGGGGTACCCTTTAGATAATTCTATTTATGGATCTGTTCTAAAGGCACCCATTTGGGATACCTGAATCATTCTTATGTGACCACATAACAATTTGTCCTTCACATGGACAAATCACTTTAACAAAGTATGACTTTTTAACACTATGCAGCAAGATACACAATTGTGTGCTTCCTCCCAGAAGATGTTATAGTATATTGACAGCAAAGGAAGAGAACATGAAATGTGTACAAATTCCCACCCTGTCTTTGTGAATATGTTTCTCTGAAGAAAGTAATTAAAGGTGTCAGAACATCTCCCCATTCCCTCAAGGTCAGTCAGTATCACTGGCTAAGGCTCAACCCCCAAAGATCTAATAAACTGATTCAATTCTGGAGCCCAGAACAGCTGAGACCTGCTTTTATGAAGAGGGTAGCTACAGTAAAGATAATAACAGTATATTGTTTGATCCTTTTTTATGGACTTAAAAAGATAATGAAACCCATTTGTTCAGTATCTTTCTCTTGGCAAATTGAAATTTTGATTTGCTCACAATAATCTTCTAACACAGGGTGGAGAAGTATATTAGTCTGTTTTTATGCTACTGATAAAGACATACCCAAGACTGGGCAACTTACAAAGGAAAAAGGTTTAATGGAGAACTCGCAGTTGCACGTCGCTGGGGAAGCCTCACAATCATGGCAGAAAGCAAGGGAGGAGCAAGTCACATCTTACGTGGATGGTGGCAGGCAAAGAAAGAGTTTGTGCAGGGGATCTCCTCTTTTTAAAACCATCAGATCTTGTGAGACTTATTCACTATTGTGAGAATAGCATGAGAAAGACTAATCTCCCGTGACTCGGTTACCTCCCACTGGGTCCCTCCCATGACATGTGGGAATCGTGGGAGTTACAGTACAAGAGGATATTTAGCTGGGGACACAGCCAAACTATTTCAAGAAGTATCTCTGATTTTGGTGGATCCTAAAACAGTCTGACCTTAAACCTCATAGGTTTAAAAACCTGATGATGTCAGCAGCCCACTAAGGATTGACTTATCAGAGTGAAATCTGAACAAGATGTATTTGATGACTCAGATTTAATACATTAAGGAGAGAGTTTGATGTATCCTTCTTACAGAAGGAGCCTGAGTAGTTGAAGTATTCTACTTTCAACTTGATAGGACCCAGAACATTCAACATATGTTGTCTTAGACTCCTTCTCCCTGGAATGATATTCTTGTATATTCAGTTGAATCTTTGAGTCCTCAGAGCAAGTCTTTTTTTTTTTTAATCCTCAGTCTCAAGAGGGCCACGAAATTTATTCTATGAAAATATTTCCTGCCATATCTGTATCTGCTCCATTTTTCCCTTCTGTATCAGAGATTATACCTCGGGACATACTGAGATGAATTTGTAATTTGGGTTTTTTCTCCTCTAAAGGTTAACAGTGTACATAATGCTAAGTAGGTGATGCTGGACAAACAGCATATAATTACTTGAGCCCCCCAGATCTCCCAACCTGCTCTCCCTGCAGTCCACACACATACAAAAAGTCAAAGTAATACATATTCCCTAATTATTATTTTTTTTTTGAGATGAAGTCTTACTCTGTTGCCCAAGAGTGGAGTACAGTGGCATGATCTCAGCTCACTGCATCTTCACCCTCCCAGGCTCAAGTGATTCTCCTACTTCCACCTTCCAGGTAGCTGGTACTACAAGCATGCACCACCACACTCAGCTAATTTTTAAAATTTTTTGTAGAGACAGGGTCTTACTTATATACCCAGGCTGGTCTCAAACTCCTGGGCTCAAGCGATTCTCCAGCCTCAGCCTCCCAGAGTCCTGGGATTACAGGTTTGAGTCATGCCCAGCCCGTATTCCTAATTTTTAAAAAAGGAAATTATTGTAACTAATTTATTGTCATAGGAAAAATTTTTAGTATTTGTTCATGCTATAAAATCACTTTTCACTTACATTTAATTATATTAAAAATTAGCTAACTCATCATGTTGAACATTGGCCCAGAATTATATAATGACAAAAAGAAATAAGATAGAACAAGTGGAGGGTGGATACTATTATTTATGTGTGCTTATCATATAAACATTGTCTTGAATTAGAATTTTTCTACTAATAGCTGAAATCTCAAGGGCAAAGAGATTTTACCAGGTTAACACTTAAAATTTTCCTGTGTTAAAAATAAATAAATAAACTAAACATTTTCCAATTCATAGTTGACTAAGTGTTGTTATCTCCTACAATACAGTAGGAAAAATCATAAAGGATACCAGAAAGTATTTTATTAAAATAATAATGATTTATTAAACCAGTATTATTTCTTTTTTAAAATACTGAGTCTTGCCAGTAACCAAAGAAGTGAAAAAATAATGACATTATACTTGGAGGGAGGGGAAAAATAGGGTTTATGAAATGGGAAAGCAAAACATTAATACACAGTTTTGTTAAGGATGTGACCAAATTTGTCCTCTTACACTCTAGGATTGTAAAATATTATAACCTCTCTGGAGAAAAATTTGGCAGTATACTTCAAAAACCTTAAAATATGCATGGCTTCTAACTCAGCAATTTTCTTTTTGAGAATTTTCACTGAGGAAATAATTAGATTACCTGCAGAAGCTTATTTACTTTTGACAGGGAGTAACAGGAATATCATAATGTCATTTATAATAATAGAAAGTGGTAAGCAATCTAAATGTCATTGGGGGTTTAGATAATTGAAATATATAAAATAACACATTATGGAGTACTCTGTCTTCATTAAAAATAGTTTTGTAGAAGAATATATAATGACATTAAAATGTTTATTAGGGGAGGTGGGGAGGGTGAGCCTGGGGAGAAATGCCAAATGTGGGTGAAGGCGAGAAAGCAAACAAAACACACTGCCATGTGTGTACCTATGCAACTGTATTGCATGCTCTGCACATGTACCCCAAAACCTAAAATGCAATAAAAAATAAAAATAAAATAAATAAAATGTTTATTAGATAGATATCAAGAGAAAAAAGTTGTTGCTTCCCAATCATATATACAGTATGATCCCAAGTTTTGTCTTTGGGTTTTTCTATCCATGTTTTGTTATCCAAAAAAAAATTGGATATATTTATCAATAAATGTAACCGTGTCTTCTGTTAATATTGTGAAATAGAAATGTATATTTCAGTGTTCAGAGGGATCATTGTGTTCATAATTGCCTTTTGAAGAGTTTAAAAGTAATTTAAAAAAAAATAACAAGGTATATCTTTCTATTTATGTAGATATTCCTGATCAAGTTATAAGAGTTTTCAAAGCGGATCAGCAAAGTTGCTACATTATTATCAGTAAAGACACTACAGCTAAAGAAGTGGTTTGTCATGCTGTTCATGAATTTGGTTTGACCGGTGCATCCGACACATATTCTCTCTGTGAAGTTTCTGTTACTCCTGAGGGTGTCATAAAACAGAGAAGACTTCCAGATCAGTTCTCCAAATTAGCTGATAGAATTCAACTCAGTGGAAGGTGAATAAGCTTATTAGTGGATGTGCTTATTTGTAGATGTGCTTTTGAAGATTCCCTGTTAAAACAGATATTGTAAGTAGAAGCATGTTTTAGTGTTACTAAATTCACTCTAGAATTAAAATAGGGTTTCTTTATTTTCCAAACTTTTTTGTCTTTGTAATTATGTAAATGGAATCTTAAGGAATATTTGTAAAGGCCACACCAAAGTAACCCTTGGAAGAAGACAGCTTGATAAAATACCTTATTATTCCTGCTAAAATAAAGTCTTAGAACCATCGATATACTCTAATTCCTGTTTTTTGTAGAGGAGGAAACTGAATGATACAAATCTTCATATATATCTGAATATCTGTATCTACTAATTTATAAATTTGTTTTTAATATGGCCAGTATGTACTTTGGCAAAATAAGCCACGGTTTTTACAGTTCTTTTTCTAAAATCTTTATATATATCTGAATATCTGTATCTACTGATTTATGAATTTGTTTTTAATATGGCCAGCATCTACTTTGGCAAAAGAAGCCATGGTTTTTATAAGTAGTTTTCCTTTTATGAATATGCAGGAAATTTTTTTTAATTTTAAAATGTATTCTGAAAATTATTCAATAAACTAGATTATTTCTGTAGTACATCTCTTCCTTACTCTGGTAATTTTCTCTGAGAATAATCTTTTTTTTTTTTTTGGAGATGGAGTCTGTCACCCAGGCTAGAGTACAGTGGCACAATCTTGGCTCACTGCAACCTCTTCCTCCTGGGGTTCAAGTGGTTCTCCTGCCTTAACGTTCTTAGTAGCTGGGACTACAGGCACATGCCACCATGCCCAGCTAATTTTTGTATTTTTAGTAGAGACAGGATTTCACTATGTTGGCCAGGCTGGTTTCAAACTCGTGACCCCAGGTGATCCGCCTGCCTTGACCTCCCTAAGTACTGGGATTATAGGCATGAGCCACTATGCCCAGCCGCTCTGAGAATAATCTTTTTGGTAACCCAGTTTCATATATAGAAAAAGGGTCTAGGAAAGCTTACAGTGACTACATGCCATGGTTGCTGTGAAATGAAAATGAGTTAGCTGTGTTTTGCTGGCTGTACCTAGTGGTAAAGAACATAGACCCTGGATTCAGACTGCCCACATTCAGATCCCAGCTCTAGTTGTGTGACCTTAAGCAAGTTATATACCTTCTCTGCCTGAATTTTCTCATCCATAAAATGAGGATAATAATAATAGAATCTGCCACATGGGAATATTGTAGGGATTAAATGAGTTACTAAGTATACCATACTTGATAATGTTAAACATTATTATATATAGCATAATGAGTTTCAGCAGTATTATTAATGCATTATCTTGGGCATATGAACAGTCTAAAAACAGAAAAAGTAGTTTCTTGACAGTAAAAAATAGGTGGATAGTTGGACATAAATTTAGGCTTAAATCAAGTTGGATTATTAGAAAAAATGAAGTATAAAGCATGTGATACATTACCTCTTTTCCTTAGTAACATCCCTGTAAAAGGTATTTCCTGTCTTTTAGCTTTTAAGTGCCATAGAATTAATAATCTAAAGAGAAGAAAGCAAAATAGAGGTTTTAATGTGTGGTTGCTAATCACTGCCACTTTTTGGAATGAGGTTTTGTATTTAACAAGGGGGAAATCATTAGTGGAAGTGTTTCTCTCTTTTTTGTAGATTTTATTCTTCTTGCTTCACTTGGAAATTTATTTTAAAAGGAAATGAGTGCAGCAACTTCTGAATAGAGGTTTTTAACCTTCTTGATTCATGAATTTATTTTGCCTTAATTAGAATTCATGCTGTCCATAAACAAATATTTACATAGTATCAACTATCTGTCAGATAAAATAGTAAAATAAAAGCTTTATAAGGGCAAGACAAGTACCTAAAACAGTATTTGACCAATACTAAATAGCTTAATAAAATGATTAAGTTTATGACATAACAACATTATTTTTACTCTTTAACAGATGTCAGTTGGTGGAATAAGAGACAGACTTCTCAAAAATCTTATTTAAAATGTTAAATTTTCATTTTATCTGTAAATAAATATTTTTGGCTAAAAGTTATTAATAGTAAAATATTTTACAACAACAAAAAAGGAAAAGTGCTCTTATTTAATCATATTTATGATTACATTTATTTAATTTTTTTAAATTTAGGTATTATTTAAAAAATAATATGGAAACAGAAACCTTATGTTCAGATGAAGATGCTCAAGAACTAGTTAAGGAAGCCCAGCTATCCATGCTGCAGCTCAGTACCATTGAGGTGGCCACCCAGCTGTCAATGAGGGATTTTGATTTGTTTCGTAATATTGAGCCAACTGAGTACATCGATGACCTTTTTAAGTTAAATTCCAAAACAGGAAATAGTCACTTGAAGAGGTTTGAGGACATTGTAAACCAAGAGACATTCTGGGTTGCCTCAGAAATTTTAACTGAAGCAAATCAACTCAAACGAATGAAGATTATTAAGCATTTTATTAAAATTGCACTTCATTGTCGAGAATGTAAGAACTTCAATTCCATGTTTGCAATAATAAGGTAAGTTAATACAAGTAGGTACAAATGTCTGTACAGTTTTGTCATTATATGAAGCTGATTTTCTGCTAAGGTATTAAATGCCTATGAAAAGAAACATTCAATTAATATGCCTTTATTGAAGTATTGTTAGATTTAATATATTATCCATTCTGGTGGTATTGGCTTTTTCTATTTTTGTTTCTTCCATCTTTCTTTTACTTCTTTTTATTGGTCACGGCCCGGGAGATCATGACATCACGTCGATCTCTTTTACTTCTTTGTTGTAAATGGAAGTGGGTAATTGCCTTCTAATTTTTCTTTCTTCCCCTGACCCCCAATCCTGCACCTTGAGTGATTGTACCCTCTTCAGATATGTGCCCAGTGGCTGGTCTTTATCATTAGATTTCTCTGCTATGCTCTTTAAGGTACCTGCCTCACTATGATTTAACACTGAAAAATCACAGTATGGTATCAGTACTTTGACCTAAAGTTGCTATTTTTGAAATAACAACATCAATAATAATAATAGCAACAATTTGGTAACCTCTTCCTGTTCAGGCACTACATGAGGTATCACTGGAGGTGGTGTTACTCAACCAAGCTAGGCCATTAGAATTAGAAAAATGCTTTGAAATTCATAAGCTCAGGACAGCATAATTCCACTCGAACTAATTCTACCTATACACATCCCCCACAGAATTTATAATGATTTGTTTCTACTCCTCATGTAAGATTAAAAAGAGAATTATTTATAGGGACTCTTTAATCATGACTCTGGATGGTAATAGGATGCTCCTTTATTAAATTAACCAGTGGGTGCAAGTGAACTAGAGATTATCAGAGTGATCTTTAGAATCAGCTGCACCTGTATTTGAATCCTGCCTCTCCCATATAGTAGCAGTGTGTCGGTGGAAAACTGAAGATATGTTTTTTTATCTCTAAAATGCAGGAATTGTGCCACTTACATCACAGTTTTTAAACAGGTCTAAAACGGGAATAAAGATGCCACTGATAAACACTTGGAAGGCTAGAAATTGAACCTATTTGTAAGGGAAACATCAAGTAAAGAATTGGAGAATTATGGACTCAGTTTTAGAGACCACTATGAAGAAAATTGATCGACACTGAGAGAATAAATTCTGTATAAAAAGGGTGTAGAAAGAAAGTGGTAGAAATCTACTTAGTGGCCCTCTCAGTGTGAGGGTAAAGAATAAAAAGAGTCTAGCCAAAGGGATGAAGGATCAATACAAGAAATAGAGTAGCACAGTTATGATAGTGTCATTAAAGCCAATGAAAGAGAGTGATTTGAGAGAAGGTATGATGGACAGTAGCCCAAAGAAACAAGGGATAGGAAAGGGCTGAGATTTGGTTAAGAGATTTTGTTTGGTTAAGAAGTTTGTTTTGTTACAAAGAATATTTGTTCTGCACATTTTCATAGCTCATGTAAAGATAATTGCTTTATTTCTCTTTTTTATTCTTTTTAAGATAATTGCTTTGTATTCTTATATTTCATATTCAGGTAGATTAAAGAATATAAAGAACTTATTAACTTTTTAGCAGAGATGGCAAAGGTGAACCATTCATTTGTGGCTAGAATTAGTAACTTGTTAATTATAAAATAATTATAACTTTTTGAATAGACATAGCATATACATTGAAAAAACTTTAAAGGCATAAAAGAGTACACGGCATAAAGTAACTCTTCCTCCCACTCAGTCCCTGGTCCACCCAAATTTCTCTCCCCAGAGGTACTGTTACCTTTTTTCATTCAAGAAATAACCTATGCACAGAGAGAGCATGTAAAATATACATTTAAACCCACCTTGACTTATTTTGTTTGATTTATCTTGGAGATTATTTAAAATTGGTACTTATAAAGTTGTCTCATTTTAACAACTACAAAGTACTCCTTTGTATTGTGGAGTGCACATTATGGGTATTTCTAAATTTTCAGCGTTTGGCTATTTGAAACAGTGTGTGGTGTTTGCTTTTGCCATGTAGAAGTTTTTTTGTTTTTATATAGATGTATCATTTTTCTTTTTCCTGGAGTTTCTGCATTTTGTGTTTAGTTAAGAACAAAGAATTGCCTAGGTTTGAATTCATTGTTGGCACTTACTATGTGAACCGAGTTTCCTCATTTGTCAATTGGGAAATCCTGGTAGTTCCTACATCATAGGGTTATTAAGAGTATTCAATGAATTAATATATTGAAAGCTCTTAGAACACCCTAAATAACATTTTTTATTAATCTTGAATTCATTTTTATGTTAACAGTGAGATAGGGAAATAGATCTTCCTTTATTCCAAATGATTTCTTCAACCAATGTTATTAATCCATCTTTTTTTCTAAAATATGTAATGCCATCTATTATGTACTGAAATCTAAAACATAATTTGGGTTTATGTTTTATGGGTCTGCACTCTTTGCTTCATTGTTTTGTCTGTTTGTTTACTGTTTTAATTGCTAAAGTGGTAAAGCAGATTTTAAGGTCCAGTAGTGCTAGTCAGATCCCTCAATACTCTTTTCATGCTTTTCTTTAGCTATTTCTAGCATATTTATTTGTCTCATATCAACTTTAGAATTAATTTATGTAGTTTTAAAAAGATTTGTTGATGTTTTCATTTAGATTACATTAAATATTTAGATTAATTTAGTGGATATTTGATAGCTTTGTAACAATGATTCTTGCCATCCAAGAACACTTACTCCATTTGTTTCAGTTTTCTTTTATTTCCTCTGTGGAGTTTTTTTATTAGTCTATTTTCACATTGCTAGAAAGAAATACCTGAGACTGTGTAATTTATAAAGAAAAGAGGTTTAATTGACTCACAGTTCCTCATGGCTGGGGAGGCCTCAGGAAAGTTACTATCAGTGTTGGAAGGGGAAGGCCAAACACAGCATGTCTTATATGGCAGCAGAGAGAGTGAGCGAGGGGGAAAGTGCCACACTTTTAAACCATCAGGTTTCATGAGAACTCACTGATTATCATGAGAACAGCGTAGGGGAAATCTGCCTTCATGATCCAGTCACCTCCCACCGTGTCCTTCCCCTGACATGTGGGGATTACAATTCCACATGAGATTTGAGTGGGGACACAGAGCCAAACCATATCAAGTTTATAGCAGTGTTCATATAAATCTTGAACATTTTTTTGAATGTTTAATGATTTTTGTTACTGTTGTGAATGGGATCCTTGTGTTTTCTGTTTCTGTCTAAGTATTCTAATGCTTATGAATATCAGTGTTGTACCTAACACCTTACTACATTCTTCATGTTTCTAATAATTTTTGGTTAATATTTTGGGAGTTTTTAGTTAATCTAATTTTCTTCGACAAAGGATAATTTTACGCCTCTCATTACGTTTATTAATAGCTATTTCTCTGTTTTGTCTATTTTCATCTGCTGATGCTTCATATCAAATGATACCATCATCCCTCAGTATCTGTGGGTCATTTGTTCCATGGCTTCCCACAGATAGCAAAATCCTCACTTACTCAAGTCCTGTAGTTGACTAGGAGGAATTTGTGGATACAAAAAGTCAACGCTCTGTATTAGCAGGTTTTACATCCAAGGATACTGTATTTTTGATCTGCATTTGATTTTGAATGTGGAACACTCAGATACAGATGGATGACTGAATTTATGGGGAAAAAAAATCTGCATATAAGTGGATCGGTGCAACAGTATCCCACAGTAGCAGGAGTTAGCCTCGTTTGTGAATTGTTTTATCCTTTACTTTTTCTTAGTAAATGGAGATTGTGGCAGCATTAGGGCTGCTTACAACTCAGAGTTTCTCTCTTCTCTCCTGCCTTATTAAACAGATTTGTGCCAAAGTCTATCACTGTGTGCTATTCCAAATAAAGGATTGTTGGCTGGGCATGGTGGCTCATACCTCAGCACTTTGAGGCTCAAGGGTTTAAGATCAGCCTGGCCAACATGGTGAAACCCATCTCTGCTAAAAATATAAAAATTAGCCAGGCATTATGGCGCACACCTATAATTTCTGTAATCCCAGCTACTCAGGGGGCTGATGCACAAGAATTGCTTGAACCTCACAGGTGGAGGTAGTAGTGAGCTGATATCACACCACTGCACTCCAGCCTGGCTAACAGAGCAAGACTCTGTCTCAAATAGTTAAATAAAGTATTGGTATTTTTACTGTCAGGGCGGAAAGAGTTCCAGTTTGGAGAACTGTTCTGTCAGCTTTCATTGATAATTTCAGCTACAGACTATTTTTCATCAGCTTTGCTTACTCCCGCTTGACCTCGGATATTTTTGGCAACCTTTCTAGTGTGTTTAGGAGTTTGATATCTTTTAGTTTCAGTGGATATAAAATTTGTACTGGTTACTCATCCTTCTTATAGTGGTTTGGAGTGAGTCCTGAGAAGCAAAAGGGAACAGTGATTCCTAACAATGCCTTAAAATCAGAAATTAGGAGAACGTTTTACACACAGTGGTGTGGGTAATCAGATGGCCGAGAAACAAAGGATTTACTGGTAAGAAAATGGAGGCATTTGGCAACCTACCTCTGTGATGGTACTGTAGAGGTAAAGGATTAATAAAGACTTACAGCCTAATTGGCAAGAATTATGTTTTCGGGTTAGGGAATATCTGAGCCTATTTAAAATCCTGTGGAAAGGAGTCATTGAATATCTGAAGGCTTAGTGAACAGGATTAGAACCTAGGAATGTGGATGTATTGGAATCGGGGACATGAATGAACAAAATTGCAGAGAAAAACGGCTTCCTAAGACTCAGAATTAGCCTATTATTTAACAGTTGTTCTCAGCATTACTTAAACCACTTTCAAGTAGGTAATGTCTCCATAAAGTTATTTCTAAGTAAAACAAGCAACATTGTGATGCTTGAAAAATTTTTAAGTTAAATTTCTGTTTTGTAGAATTATTAATTCTGTCACTCAAATGAAACTATAAAATTAAGTGTTATGTATGTATACAACTATAGGCAAGTATTATAGTTCCTCTGAAAGAAGTTCTTGTTTTAAGATCAAGAAATCTCTCTTATTTATTTTTTATAGTGTTTCTCTGTTTATTTCAATGTGTTAAAATATGTCCCAGCTTATATTTAGTTTTTTGTTTGTTTTTTTTTTTTGAGAAAATGGTATATATACTGACCAGAGTCCACCCCCTCCCCCAAGTTCCTTTTTAATGCTTTTATTCTCATCTTTGGCAGTGGCTTGAACCTGGCATCTGTAGCACGACTCAGAGGTACTTGGGAAAAGTTACCAAGCAAATATGAGAAACATCTTCAAGATCTACAAGACATTTTTGATCCATCTAGAAACATGGCAAAGTATAGAAATATTCTTAGTAGTCAAAGTATGCAGCCTCCAATTATTCCACTCTTCCCTGTTGTCAAGAAAGATATGACATTTCTACATGAGGGTATGTAAACATTATTTGAAAATGGGCATGTTTACCTTCAATGAATTCTACAGAATGGTGATTTATTATATATGTTTATACCTTCAGTGAATTCTACAGAATTGTGATTTATTATATATTCCAACCTAATTATATCTCTAAAGTTTTAAACAGTTGAATAAAGCAAATCCAAAAGCCACATTGTTGAGACAAGGGCAAAATTGTTTACTGTGTACATTCAAACATAAACTTAACACATTAACATCAGACTGTTCAATCATACTTGTTTTGTTTAGTAAGGTTTTTTTCTTTCAGCTTACTTACACAGACAGAAAAGTACCCTAAACAAATGAACAGCTAATGAATTATGACAAAACAAACACTCAAAAAATTAAACATTGCCAGCACCCCAGAAACTTTGTTCATGCCCCTTTTCAGTTACCACCTTTATTTTCTTCCCCAGGGTTAACAACTCTCCTGATTTCTAGTGCTATAGTTTCAGCTGTTCTTGAACTTTATGTAAATAGAATTACAGAGTATGTTTGTTTTTATATTTGGTTTGGGTTTGTTTCTTGAAACAGGATCTCACCGTGTTGCCCAGGCTGAAGTGCAGTGGCGTGATCACCACTCACTGAAGCCTTAACCTCCTGGGTTCAAGTGATCCTCCCACCTCAGCCTAGCCTCCCAAGTAGCTGGGACTACAAGGGTATGCCACCATGCCCACTTGATTTTTTAATTCTTTTTATAGAGATGAGGTCTCACCTTTTGGTCTCAAACTTTTGGACTCAAATGATCCTCCTGAGATTATAGGCATGAGCCATAGCATCTGGTCACTTACATGTTTTTGAGTGAAGCTGTACTTCATTTTCAAAACTATTTAGCCTTCCATTATATGAATGGAATACATATGGAGTCATTCATTCTTTTGATGGGTATTTGGTTATTTCCACTATTGACCTCTTGTGAATAATGCTGCTCTTACGCATGCATGTGTATCTTTTAGTGCACATGCATTTTTATGTGCTATTATTACATTCATGGTGGAATTTATGAATCTTGATATTCATATAATCAACTTTAGAAACAGCTTGTTATCATCTGCTAAAGTTAGGCACAGGCAGTGTTAGAATTCGCACATTTTTCATCTTCACCAAAAACTGATAAATTGTCTTTTTATTTTCACATGTTGCAGTAAGCCTGTAATTGTATCATAGTGTGGTTATAGTTTGCATTTCTCTGATTACTAAAGAGAGGGAGAATGTGTGTGTGTGTGTGTTGTCCTCTTTTGTCAATTACTTGTTCTGATTTCTTGCCTGTTTTTTAATTAAGTAGTCTTTTTTGTTTATCCTATATTTCTAAGAATTCTTTTTATATCCTAAATGATATAACTTGCCTTTTGACTCTATTTTTTAATTGACAAAAATAATTATATTCCTGATTTATTGATGTTTTACCTCAATGGTTTATCTAAGTCTACCTGAATTGATTTTTGTGTTTTTTTTTTCCTATTGTAATCACTTGGTAACCATATACTATTTTACCATTTTTCTAATGTTAAATTAGATGTCATACTTTACATATTTATTAATTCATTGAATATTTATTAGTACTTTTTTGTGTGTCAGATAATACAAGGAACTTATACCACTTAAATTCCATTTGCTAATCTCCTGATTTTCATGCAGTTGTTGCTATGCTTTTAACTCCCACAAGGTACTGTTGTTGCTTAATAAAGTCAGTATTTATTTAACCTTGCCTGTATATTTACTTTTATTGTTGTTACTATTTTTTATTCATTCTTGCATATCAGAGCTTCCATATCACTGGGCATTGTGTTTTTGCTTTATAGAACACTGTTTAATATTCTCCTTAAGTGCAGGTTTGCTGGTAATGAATATCTCTTAATTTTTGTTTATCTGAAAACACCTTTAACTTTGTTTTCAGAGGATTTTTAGTTGGCAGCTACATTCTTTGAATTTGAAATGACATTTCATTGCCCTGTGCCTTCCACTGTTAATGTTGAGAAGTTAGCTTACATTTTTATTTGCTGTTGCTTTAACCATAATCTGCACTTGATACTGCCTTTACGATTTTGTTTTTTCTTAACTTTTTTCTAGATTTGTTTAATATGACTTAAGTGTGGCATTTTGTTTTTTGTTTCTTACTCTGATTGGTGTTTATAGGAAACTTGAAACCTATGGTTTTATATTCTAATCAGTTTTGGAAAAATCTTAGTTATTGTATCTTTTGTTCTCCATTTGACTTTGTCTCATCTTCTGTTAAATTCATTACTGACATCGTAATTCCAGTTATTTATTTATTTTTTACAGATTTCTTTTTTTGGTTTCATGTTCTTTTTTCAAAGTTCTCATTGTTTTTCATATCTTTGAATATACTCAACATAGTTATTTTAAAGTCTGTTTTGAATAATTCCGTAATCTGGGTCCCATTTGGGTCTTAGTCTGTTTTCTTTTTTTCTCTTTCATTTCAGTCATGTTATGTTTTCTTCTGATGTGCCTGGTTATGATTGAAAAGTGAGATTACAGAAATATCTCACTTTTTGAATGATGTTCCATATCTCCAGAGAGGATTAAAGCTTGCTTCTGGCAGGCAGTTAGAGGTGCTAGAATTTCAAAATCACATTAATCCATTTTGACATAATTTAACAACAGACTTTTATCCCAGTCTACATTCAGTTTATCTTTGGTCTCAGGATATAGCCCCTCAGAGTCCCAACGAAACATTGGAGGTTTACATGGATTTAAGTTGCTTTTCCTTTTATCTCAAAAGGCAGGGTGTCTATACTTGGTTTTTTAGCTCATTATCGTTTTCTGAAATCAGATACACCTAGTGGCAAGCACTGGGAAATGCTAAACTTGCTTCTTTGCATTTTTTCTTCTACTTTTGTCCAACTTTTCCGGTCTCAGCAGAAGTATTGTTCTAATTATGTAGTCTTACTGCCTCTTTTGTTATCACTCATTTTTCATAAGGAAATATTATAGGCTTCAAATATGTTATTCTGACCTGCTCCCTGAAATATGTTTATGTAACTTGAGAATATTCATCATAATTATTTTGTTTCCAACTTGTGTTGAGACCCTGAACAATTCATGTGTCCAGTGTATAGGTGTTGTTTACCATAGATTCCTCAGTCTTGCCTTCAGGGCCTTGGACTTTGACAGACCTCAAGGTCTACCCTGGGAGATAAATGGTGTCATGCTATGTTATAGACAAGTGTGAGAAAACAGTGCTGTAAACGGTCAGGTTGCCCTTTGTTTGGGTTTTTGTTTTGTTTTGTTTTTGTGGGGTTTTTTTGAGTTGAGATCTTACTCTGTTACCCAGGTTGAAGTGCACTAGCACACTCATGGCTCACTGCAACCTCAAACTCCTGAGCTCAGGCAGTCCTCCTTCCTCGGCCTTCCAAAGTGCTGGGATTACAGGTGGGAGCCATTGTGCCTCCAGCCCATGAAACTGGTTTTAGAAGCCATGCACAGTTTATCACTTGACTTTATTCATAACTGTTACTTTTATATGGAACACAGTATCTCCTAGTGGCTCACTCCCTAAGAGCAGGGTTGAACCATCTATGGGTATATCAGTTCTTAAAAACAAAATTGGCACTGTGATAAAGAAGGTCCTTCTTTGTGCCCTTCAAGAATACCAGCTTGACTTTTGCTACTTTTATGTACATAATTTAATTTTGAACTTAAAAATTTATTTTCATTCTATAGGAAATGACTCCAAAGTAGATGGTTTAGTAAACTTTGAGAAGTTAAGAATGATTTCCAAGGAAATCCGCCAAGTTGTTCGAATGACTTCTGCTAACATGGACCCAGCCATGATGTTTCGACAGAGGTATGACATTGAAATGTGTAAAAGTGTTATAGAGTGGCATCAAGGGTGACATAATAATAATTAAGTTTATCATTTATTGATCATGCATACTTATTACTTATTCTGCCATTTGTTGTATGCTGTACAAAGTACTTTACATATGTCAGTTTCATGTACTCATGTATCATAATAACCATAACAGGTAGGTGGTATTAGCCTTCTTTTTACATATTAAGAAATTGAATGAAGCTTAGAGCAGTTTTTACATAATTTGCAAATATTTATATATGGATAGTTCTGTATTACTTTTCTTTAAAACATCAGCAAACAAATACAGGAAAATTGCTGATACTCTTCATGTTTTCATCTTGTTTCTAACCTAATTTAGTTCTATTTCTGTTTAATTCATACTTCATTCCTTTAAACCATTTTTCCTTTTCTCAAATTATAATGTTTCATTGGTATATAAGTTTTTATTACACATAAATGAACAGAATTTAGAAAGCGCAAATTTAATCATATTTTATCTTTACTAAAAATGAAAATTTTATTGTGTTCTGTATTAACCTGATCTTTTAAGAATGCTTTTTAAGGTTCATTTTTAATATAATAACAAAGGCTTTCTCAGCTTACATAAAGTTGAAACAAAGTATTCGTTAAGTTGTTTCTACTAATTTTTACAATTTTCAGGGTATAAATAAACATTGTAGTTTTAATTTTTGATCTGATTTCTTTTTTGGCCTATGTGTATAGCTTCAGTTCACAGGGACATTAATGAAATAATTTACAGAAGTCGACACAATTTTTATGGCTTAAAAGAATACATTGTGCTAAGGAAACAAAAAAAACCTTGAGATTAGGTTTGTGCAAATGTATTTGTGATTTTTGCCATTACTTTTAATGCCCAGGCTGGTCTCGAACTCCTGGACTCGAGCAGTTTACCCACCTCAGCCTGCCAAAGCTCTGGATTACAGGCTGAGCCACCATACCAGGCCTAGGCATCTTTGTTTTTGCAGGTAGCTGATTTGATGGTTTCTTTGGTTTAGAGATCTGCCGAGTATGGAAGGAAGGGGTGTGCCAGATTCCTCTTTCCTACGCTTCCCACTTCTGCACCTTGAGAATCACTACAAGTAATGAAAGATATCATTGCTTAACAGTGTGGAAGCAGAAAATAGTAAGAACTAGGTACCAAAGCAAAAAAGTGTTTGTTTTTTGTTGCATGTCCTTGTACAGTGGCCCTACCACTTCCTGTTGTCTTATATGGACCTCTATTTACTCATACCTGTTAACATCCTGGTTCCTGAAGATGTGATGAATTTGTGACCCTGCCAGACCAGTTTATGATATATTAAGTGCTAGCCATACTTCAGAGATGAGCAGAGGAGAAAAATTGATAAGGCAATTAATAAACATGACCATTTTCTTGGAAGTGGCCTGGATTGAATAGAATAGGGTATTGGGGAAAAATAAAAACATCTGTATTAAAGATTGGACTGAATTTTTCCTGAATCAGTTTTGTCAGCCAGTACTAAATGTAATACCTTTTTTTAAGCAAACAATGTCCATTTTGGTGGTGTATGAGTATCTAGTTTAGACAAACGCTTTTAACAGTAATCAATTTGCAGACATAAAAAATAGATTCTTTAGGCAATCAAATAAGAATGTAAAGATATATAGTATTATGAAGACTTTAATGATATGTTTTTACTTAGATTTTAAGTTGTTTTTGCTGGTCAACATGTCTTACAAGACCCCTTGTCAGAGAGAAATCTCTGCACTTAAAAATGAAATTTTATGTTTTTATGTTCCTTGTAATTTTATCATTTAAATGAGTGGCCCAAAAGTCTTGTCAAAAAGATGTTCAAAAATTCTGGCTGGGTGCTGTGGCTCACGCCTGTAATCCCAGCTCTTTGGGAGGCCAGTGCAGGCAGATCATGAGGTCAGAAGTACAAGACCAGCCTGACTAACATGGTGAATCCCCATCTCTACTAAAAATAGAAAAATTAGCCAGGCATGGTGGTGCGTGCCTGTAATCCCAGCTATTCAGGGGAATCATTTGTACCTAGGAAGTGGAGGTTGCATTGAGCTGAGATCGCACTACTGTACTCCAACCTGGGTGACAGAGCAAGACTCCCTCTCAAAAAAAAAAAAAAAAAAAAAAATTCTCTTCTTTTAAGGTCTTTTTCTTTTTCCTCTTTTTTTGACAGAGTCTCACTCACTCTGTCGCCAGGTGCCAGGCTGGAGTGCAGTGGCACAGTCTTGGATCACTGCAACCTCCGCCTCCCAGGTTCAAGCAATTCTCCTGCCTCAGTCTTCCAAATAGCTGGGACTACAGGTGCATGCCACCACGCCCAGCTAATTTTTTTTATTTTTAGTTGAGACAGGGTTTCACCATGTTGGCCAGGATGGTCTTGATCTCTTGACCTTGTGATCTGCCCACCTTAGCCTCCCAAAGTGCTGGGATTACAGGCTTGAGCCACTGTGCCTGGCCCCTTTAAAATCTTTTTCAATAAAAACTTTGAATTCAAAATTTATAAGTAAGTAAGTGTTTTTCCTTAAGCTTTTTATTTATATGAGCTTCTAAATGAATTCGGTATTTAAAATATAATTGGTCTAATGCATATTTTTATAAAGTATTTTGGAGCTTTTTTGACCTCCAGTATATACATAACTCATCTTACCCTCCTTCCTTCCATTAAAGTCATTTTACTGTTAAGCTATAATTTTTTCCTGATAAATTTTTTCTGTTCTTTTCTGTCTGCATAGTTTCTCTGACTTTCAACTGTTGTCTTTTTTCTGTGCTTTCCTATTCAAACACATGCTTCAATGTTTGTGGCTCTTGCTTACAGGAAGAAGAGGTGGCGGAGTCTGGGGTAAGTGTAGAGATGGACGCAACTGGAATGAAGGTTGTGCAACTCTTAACATATACTGCATCCTTTTCATTAATGCACGCACATAAAATAGCATGCATTCTATTAACCCTGTCAGCCTACATTCCTGACAAATGCCTTCTGCTAACAAGGTGAAAGTAGTGATAGAACTAGCTATTTTTCCTTTGCTTTTCCACTGTTGATGTCCTATAAGTCCTTTTTAGATTTTAATTGAGCTAGGTCAATTAGATGATGACAGTGATAGTGAATATTTGTTGTGTACCTTCTCTATGCCATACATTGTTCTAAGCACTCTAAACCAATTAATTATCTTAATTCTACTATTACCTTATAAGGAGGTACTGTTCTTTCCATAGTGTGGATGGGAAAGGTTGAGTTGCCTAAAATTTTAGGGTTCATTAATGGTGGCTCCAAACCTAGGTAGTCTGATTCTGGATAGAGTTCACACCACATTCTTTTATTCAAATGCCACATTTTATAAAAATAAATATATAAATGTACAAAATGAATGAAACATCTGTTTATGAAGGTTGCATTTTCCATCAGTTTTCCAAAAAAGAGGAAGCCCTTATCCAAGCTGTACTATAAAATTGAATTTGAAGGTGATTTTATGTTCTCAGACCCACTAATGCCATGATACTTCCAGCATTGATTGAATTTTGTTTGAAATTTTTACCAGTTTTAATTGAAAACTCCCTTACCTTTAAAGTTGTGATGGAATCAGAAACTGCCACTATTTGTTATTAAAGTAGATTTAGGTTTGCACTTATACATAGCCAAGTGTCTATTTAGAGTCATAGAATGTTAAAGATCTTATAAATCATATATCTAGTCCTTTCATTTTTAGATGAAGAAAGAGATGTCTTTTATGGATGAAGGGATTGCATAAGAAGAATTTTGTTATTTTAAGACTTGTAGTGAACCATGAAGTTAGAAGCTTTTATAACATGTAAGAAGAATTTTTTTGTGAGCCACCTCCTTTACTTAAGTCTTGTCTCATTTGTGGTCTTGTTTTCTGTTAATGCTTGGTGAACTTGACTTTCCTTCTATTTTTCCTCCCTTCTCTGTGTGTTTCCCATGTATTTTCTTCTGGATCATAAATTTGTGTCTTGGTCTCTTTCTTCTCACTGAAAATAGAAATTGACACCTAGCATTACTACTGTAAAGAAGAATATTTGGACAGTATCTTTTAGTGGGTATTGGGTGTGTTTGATGAATGAGTTATGTTAACATGTTTCACTGTTGATTCAGCTATAGGGTTGCATTGTTTGATGCCTGTGAACATTAGATACATGTATTTTATATCAGAGCATTTTCTGTTTTCAAAGTAGTTTAGAAAACATTTTATCGTCATTTATCACTATGTTATCATTTATTAGAATTTTGTATCTTCTACATATGTCAAAACCCACTTTTTTGACATTAACTAAGATAAAATCGTTAAATATTTATGTTATAATTTGTTCTTAAATAGCTGCAACTTGATTTTACTGCCTTTCTTTGAATTCAAGACATCATCAATTGTTGGGCACATTGTTATTTTATCTACTACTAAGGAAAATCACTGTAGTATCCTATTACCATAAAGTGGTAATAGGATACCATAAAGTAAAACTCCTTCGATAAGCATACTACTTTATGCTTATCGAAGGAGTTCTTAGACTTGGCTATAGGTTTTTATCACAGAGTCAAAACTGAGTTTTTAAAAATCAGTATTTTTATTGATTCACATGAAAAGGAAAATAAAAGCATAGTAAATTGGTTTAGGTATTCCTAAAATTTCTTTATATTCAAAATATGAATCTTCTGTAATGTTTTTAGAGTCATTAGTTTCTGGATTTTGTTTTCCAGAACCCTCATCCCCCATACAACATTGCCCTCTGTGCCATCCAGTAATGCATCATTTCTTTGAAAAAACACAAAAGAACCAAAAGCTGCTGGTTCTGGGCTCTGAGGCTGGCTTTGGAAATAATTAGAGCTAGTTTTCTCTTGTCACTTGCTATGGTAATGTTCTTGAACTTGTCAGATTTACTACTTCTGTATAATCATTTGGTCCCTGGAGGTTAAAAGGGTACTTCACTAATGTCATTGAATTTTCTTTTAAGCCATTGTGAAAGTTTTGAGATTTCTGCATGTGTGAATAACATCATGTCATAGTTTCTGCCTGGCCAATAGCAATTGAAGGTTCCCATTGAGTGTTACATATACCTCTATTTGAAAGATCTTAAAATATGAAAGAAAAAAGTTGTAACACTTTTTCAACCATATTTCACTTAATTTACAATGAAAACATTAGGATTTTTGGTTCTGTTTTAAACTAGATATGTGAGCACTGTGATCTTTGTATTTAGAATATTTTTATATAAAAATGAAGCTTAATTTAGACAATCCATAGATAACCTTATTATTTTGGATGGCAAAATAAAATACCATCTAAATAAAAATTATATAAGAATTTTGTATTAGCCTTGTTAGAAAAGACAGATATCATTGCAGTTGCTGTCTTCCATTGGTTCTAGATGTGCGGTCATTATAGAATGTTTGTCAAAAAGAGTAGAGTCAGGTGAAGCTGTAGCTTGTTTGAATTGTGGTTATTTCTACCCAGCTTGCAGTTCTGTCACATTCATGGGCATTACAAAAGTGGTGTCCAGGTCCTTAGTTCTGTAACCCAAATATTGCCTAATCATTCCATATGTGAGTGGGAGCATTGAGTTTTTACTGCATTCTGATTTCTGACTATATAGAATTGGGTATAAATGCTGTTAATTTTCAGCTAATACGTTATTGGTAGTTCTCCTTGAGTTTTGGCCAAAATAATGGTTCCTAGTAAAATTGGTTAACATGCTCAGAGTGAGCCTGCTATAATGGTAGTGGCAATAGCACGTCCAAAGCAGAACAGCAAGCAAAACTGCTTTAGAACCCTCATTGCCAAAGAACTCTGGTTCAAAGATCTGGCTGAGGATGGACTTGTCCTGGTCCAGGATCTTGCCATGTCCTCAAAGCGTGGATGGCCTCCAGGGTAGAGGAATGCTTTTATTTGTTACTCTTGTGCCATGGGTTGCATTGGCACAAACATAGGCCTGATGGAATATGGCGCTCAGGGAGGGCATTGTTATCCTGTTCTTTTGAATTCTGTACTTTGCCAACTCCTGTTCTTAATTCAGAACATCACCATATGTGCCGAATTACTTTGCATTAATGCTCTTCATCTTTTAACTCATTTACATCAGCATGCAACAGCATTAACAGAACAAAATCTTTTAATCTTCAATCTACTCTGCTTAATTCTCATGTCTGCAGCCACTTATTGTGATTTTCATCTTCTTACAGATCACTGAGTCAAGGAAGCACAAATTCGAACATGCTGGATGTTCAGGGAGGTGCTCACAAAAAAAGGGCACGCCGCAGCTCTCTCCTTAATGCCAAGAAGCTGTATGAGGATGCGCAAATGGCAAGGAAGGTGAGGCAGTATCTTTCTAGTCTGGATGTGGAGACAGATGAGGAGAGGTTCCAGATGATGTCATTACAGTGGGAGCCTGCATATGGTACCTGTGAGTACAAGTTTTCATTTATGTGACACTAAAGAACTTATTTTTCTAGAATTATGCTTAAGTCCCAAGAAAATTAACTTTAACTTACAAAAGATTACGGGCATACCTTAAGCATCATGTGATCAAATTAATCGCCTACAGAATCCTGTCCATTCCTGATGGCTACACTGTGAAAAAAATAAGTGGATCTTTAAAAAACTTTTTAAAGTTTTTTAAAAACTGGATTATTATAGAGGAGCCTTTCTGTTTGAAAACATTTTTACATTTATCCTTAAACAAAGAGTAAGCATAAGTGGAATTTTTACCTCTTTTTATTTCAAGGATAATATTTACCAACTAGAAAATATAAGAAACTTGATTAAAACACCAGTGATAATAAGTACCTTACAAGTGCCAGTAGTTAGGTAAAACAAGAAAAATCAGACACAATCTGATATTAGTAATCTCTTGAAAATTTGATGAAAAAGATCATGTTCTCAATACTGATATTTCAAGTGAAATACAAGCAAGAGAATGCATACATCTCTGGATCAAAGAAATTATTAATTCTAAGAGCAGAAATCAAAGATAATGAAATACAGACTGTTAAAACAAAATAATTATACTTCTTAAGTTAAATTGTAGGTTCAGGCCAGGTGTGGTGGGTCACACCTGGAGGCCTAGGCAGGAGGATCATTTGAGGCCAGCCTTGGCAACTCAAGGAGACCCCATCTCTACAAAGAAAAAGAATTAAAATTAGCCAAATGTGGTAGTCCCAGCAACTTAGGAGGCTGAGGGAGGCCGGTCACTTGAGCCCAAGAGTTTGAGGCTTCAGTGACCTAGGACTGTGCCACTGCTTTCCAGCCTGGGCAACCAAGTGAGACCCAGTCTCTAACAAATAATATAAACACACACACACACACACACACGCACACACACACACACACACACACACAATGGGTTAAATGTTATGCCCATAAAAATTGCAACAGAATTTTATTTCTAAGTTCCTAATTGACAAGGGGTAGTACTCATCATGGATTGACCCTAAGATTGATAAATGATATGGTATTTTTATAGTAATTTTTAAAAGTTTGTCAAAAGAAAGAATAGAAAACAGGAACTGGAAATAGAACCAAATACTGATTTTTAAAAATTTAGTTTTGACAATTTTAAAATAAGGATAAGGAGCCATTTAATAAGTGCCATAATCAAAACAGTATCTTGAATGCTCCTACATATAAGAAAAGATTTGGAGTATGATGGAAAGAATACCTACTAAAGGATAGAGGCAGAGTTTGAGTTTCATTGATTACCATTTGAGTAAGGTTCTTTTCATCTATGGTCTCTGTTTTCTCAAATGTAAAACTTTGGCAAGGGTTGAAATATATTTTATTTCTGTGATTCTTTGTACATCAAAGTTATTAAATTTGGAGAAAGAAATTTTTAAAAGCTAACAGCATTCTACATTCTGACTGCTACATGTTAAAGGTAAAAGCTGAAAGAGTGTCTAGTGTCTTTAACATTTTTTCATGTTTTGAAGTTCAAAGCCATGTGCATACTTAAAGACTTCTGGCCTTGCTTTGAGTCATCATCAAAGTCATATTTTCCCACATAATTTGATATAGACTTAATCATCTTATGATTATGAAACAGTTTATATACATCTGCATGCCTTCCTCTTCCTACACTCACCCCAGACTTGTGTCTGTCTTTTCTCCTAACACTAAATGATGTCCCATGCTACATATTTAATATCTATATGAAATAAGAAAATCTTTAGGCTTTTCTTTCTTAAACTAGATTTTAACATTTAGTTCAATACATATTCCCTAATTTGGTTTGAGCATCTTTATAATGCATAGTTCATTTTTTTTTTAATTATTACAGTTTTTTATTAATTGCATTTTAGGTTTTGGGGTACATGTGAAGAACATGCAAGATAGTTGCGTAGGTACACACATGGCAGTGTGATTTGCTGTCTTCCTCCCCTTCACCTATATCTGGCATTTCTCCCCATGCTATCTCTCCCCAACTCTCCACCCCCTGCTGTCCCTCCCCTGTTCCCCCCAACAGACCCCAGTGTGTAGTGCTCCCCTCCCTGTGTCCATGTGTTCTCATTGTTCAACACCCGCCTATGAGTGAGAACATACGGCATTTCATTTTCTGTTCTTGTGTCAGTTTGCTGAGAATGATGTTCTCCAGGTTTATCCATGTCCCTACAAAGGACACGAACTCATTGTTTTTTATTGCTGCATAATATTCCATGGTATATATGTGCCACATTTTCCCTATACAGTCTATCATCGATGGGCATTTGGGTTGATTCCAGGTCTTTGCTATTATAAACAGTGCCGCAGTGAACATTTGTGTGTAGGTGTACTTATAGTAGAACGATTTATAATCCTTTGGATATATACCCAGTAATGGGATTGCTGGGTCAAATGGAATTTCTATTTCTAGGTCCTTGAGGAATCTCCACACTGTCTTCCACAATGGTTGAACTAATTTACACTCCCACCAGCAGTGTAAAAGTGTTCCTATTTCTCCACATCCTCTCCAGCATTTGTTGTCTCCAGATTTTTTAATGATTGCCATTCTAATTGGCATGAGATGGTATCCCAATGTAATTTTGATTTGCATTTCTCTAATGACCAGTGATGATGAGCATTTTTTCATATGATTGTTGGCCTCATGTATGTCTTCTTTTGTAAAGTGTCTGTTCATTTCCTTTGCCCACTTTTGAATGGGCTTGTTTGTTTTGTTGTTGTACATCTGTTTTAGTTCTTTGTAAATTCTGGATATCAGTCCTTTGTCAGATGCGTAAACTGCAAAGATTTTTTCCCATTCTGTTGGTTGCCAATTCACTCTAATGACTGTTTCTTTTGCTGTGCAGGAGCTGTGGAGTTTCATTAGGTCCCATTTGTCTATTTTGGATTTTGTTGCTAATACTTTGGGTGTTTTGGTCATGGAGTCCTTGACTACTGCTATATCCTGAATGGTTTTTCCTAGATTTTCTTCTAGGGTTTTTATGGTGTTAGGTCTTATGTTTAAGTCTTTAATCCATCTGGAGTTAATTTTAGTGTAAGGTGTCAGGAAGGGGTCCAGTTTCTGCTTTCTGCACATAGCTCATCAGTTTTTCCAACACCATTTATTAAACAGGGAATTCTTTCCCCATTGCTTGTTTTTGTCAGGTTTATCAAAGATCGTATGGTTGTAGATATGTTGTGTTGCCTCTGAGGCCTCTGTTCTGTTTCATTGGTCTATATCTCTATTTCAGTACCAGTACCATGCTGTTTTGATTACTGTAGCCTTGTAGTATAGTTCGAAGTCCGGTAGTATGATGCCTCCCGCTGTGTTCTTTTTACTTAGAATTGACTTGGCTATGCGGGCATAATTCATTTTTAAATGTTTAAATAGTCACTATCCCAAGACCAAACAATAGTTGATTTCTAAGCATTATAGAATTTGGCTCTTCCTAATTAATTAGAATATATGTGGTTTTTGGCATTTATCTGTGAACTCTTTTATTTTTAAGGTATTCTCTGGTTTTTTTCCTTTGTATTGTAGCGATTATTAAAATAAATGTCATTTATTAACATTGAACAGTCAATGAGAGAAGAAAGAAAGAATTTCATGACTCTGGATGACAACCTCTTGTATTCAATTCATTGATGAGCCCCTGCATATTTTTGCCTGGGGTCCCTGTGTTTTGACTTTCTAAGATATTCTCTGATTCTTATCATCCCAAATGTTGTCTAGGCTGTCATAATAAAAGCATAATAGCTATTATAGCTGTGTTGAGAGAGTTTAAACATCTATTTTTGCTTTTATCTTGATGTTTAAAACAAATACTTGATGAAGTCCTGAGGCTGTACCTGCTTGAAGCCATCTTGGATAGCCTAGGGATTAAAAGTACTGCCTGATGGAAGAATTTCTTCCTTTTGGACTATAGTATTGGTTTTATATGAAGGAGGCAGCTTTTAAAAGTCAGGGTTCTCAGTTTTTTAATTCTCACATTGATTTTCAGAAAACCTATGGATTTATAAAACACTATCTCTGGTTTTCTTGTGTTGTAGCTGTTGAGGTGACTTATTTATTGAACAGATACCTATTAAGCATCTGTTTTCAGTCAGTTATTGGCACATAAGGATGTAGTAATGAACAAAATACATAGTTCTTACTCTGAAGTAGGTTAAAACCTAATGAGAGGAACAGGGAGGTTAAAGCCTATTGAGAGTATGAGACTGGTGTGAGGAAAGGTAAGCCAGTCAAGGAGGCAGGCTAATGCTAAATTATGCAGAGTCATATAGACCTTGTTTTAAGGATTTTGGTCTTTATTCTAAAAGCAGGGGCAAATTAAGGTTTGCGCAGAAGGACAAGGAAAGTGTAAGATCAAATACTCATTTTGGAAGAGTCACTCTTCTGTTCTATGAAGAATGCCTTGAAGGCATGCTAGAATTGACAGAATGAGAAAAGTATTTCAGGACCTGCCCCAGTGGCTCATGCCTGTAATCCCAGCACTTTGGGAAACTGAGGCGGGTGGATCACCTGAGGTCAAGAGTTCAAGACCAACCTGACCAAGATGGTAAAACCCAGTTTCTACTAAAAATACAAGAAAAAATTTATCCTGGCATGATGGCAGGCGCTTGTAATACCAGCTAGTCGGGAGGCTGAAGCAGAGAATTGCTTGAAACGCGGAAGGCAAAGGTTGCAGCCACCCGAGATGACACCACTGTGCTCCAGCCCGGGCAGCAGAGTGAGACTCCATCTCGGTGTGGGGAGGGGGCAGGAAAAAAGGAAAGTATGAGAGAGAGGACTCAAGATGGCGCTGTGAGAACAACCCAGGATTGGAGCTCGCGTTGAATCCGCAAACGGTGAGTCAGAGCTGCATTTACAGACTGATCGTTGTTGCCCACAGAACGGGGAAACTCCCAAGTATAAAAAAGACACGGGACGCCAGGCAGTAGGTCTGCCTGGCGAAGCCGGCAGCCGGGGCGGTGGCGGCCGGCCCTACCCAG